GTGACACGTCCCAACCTATCGTCTCCATATACAGTCGTCTAGCTGAATCCCCTCTCGCAGCTGTGTGTCTGTGTATTCAGCAGGATGTCTGCAGGAGGCACTTAGAGTAAAGTTGTTATATATAATACATATAATGGCACTCTTCTAGCGGTAAACACTTATTAAGAAAGAACATGTCAAGCTATGTGCTGTATCAGAAACAATGCGCACCGTGTTTTGGGAGTAATATGGTCTGTGTTTACATTAGCAAGCATGCTAACACTCAGAGCTAACGCTGTACTGGAGAGAATATGTGTAACGTAATGTCATTGCGGTAAACCCTGCGAGAGAGAAACATTTGAGCTCCATACTGTTTCAGAAATAATGCTTGAAGTGGTTTGGAGCATAATATGACATTTAATCACGGCAGCGTTTAGCTGAGTTTCTCCCGGTAGAAATCTCTCTTAGCAGGGGAAAGCTGCGTGACGCTACAAAGGGACGTGGCTAGCAGCTGCTGTTCCATTTAAAGCTACGGTCACAGAATCAGCCTTTTTGGAACAGGGCTGGAATAGAGGGGTATGAGGCATGGCTACAATGGGTGATCTGTTTGGTATTTGAAGCAAAAAACTTCACAGACATGTTTTATATAGGTATGGCCCTACAATATATTTTTTGCAAATATAGCATAATAGGTCCCCTTTAATATTATTATATAGTGGTGCAGTGATGACATATTTTGTAAGCCTTAAGATAACATCACAATGGCAATGACTATCGCATTTTGGAAGATTTAAATAGCTGTTATAACAGTACTATTTTTATTTAATTTTCTTTTGCTAAATATTCTTCTGTTTGTGTCTTTGTACACACATCCAAAGCAAATTCCTTGTATGTTTACACCTTAAACCGATTCTGATTGTTGTGCATGTAAATGGCCTGCAAAGGCTAAAATCCCAAAGTTCCCCCAAGAGGGAGTTTCTCTCCCTCACCCAAAAAACAGTCAACACGTTGACTCTAAGACGAGTGAACTGGGAAAGCCATCTCCTTTCCAGGTATAAGGACTCATTCCTGCAATGCACTTTTGATATGCACATACAGTAGGTCGTTTGGATCTAAGACTGTAATTTGATCCTTTAGCTTTAGCTCAAGGGTAGCGTAGTGCCAGGCTGTAATATAAAAAAACTGTGCTAAAACAGTATTGCTTAGCTTTCAGTCAAGGGGAAACAGACAGAGCAGGCAAAAGGAAAAGAACAAAAGAGAGAGAGATGAAACAACGGGAGAACAGAAACACATAAACAGAGAAGAACAAGTGAAAGGAAGTGAAAAGAGGGAGACAGAGGCTCTGAATAATTGAGCGTGTCATTCTCTGAGAACTCAATATCCTTATCAACTCCTCTTTTTAAGAACATGACACCGAATCCGCGTCTCTAATTGCTGATCTTTGCTTTTCTCTGCAAATGCTGCTTACAAAGACCTTTGTGAAATCTAAGCTGGAGAAACCGTCTCGACTCGGGTGGCAGGAAGATGGATGAATCACAGATATACACACTAACTGGCACTTAACTCACACGTACACACTCACAAACATGGCCTAGAATAGCTTTAGAATAACTTTCAATTAATTTACCGCTTACTAAAACATAAAAATGTCAAAACAACTTAGTTGGCAAAAAAATGATGCAGGCCAGGGACTTTAGTAACTCTCTTTAAACAATAGGAAACCCATTCAAAATGCAGCATTAAATGCCATATTAAGAAATTTGCCATAATAAATTAAATTCAAATCGTAGAACATGTTTATGAAGGACTCTCTGAACAACGTAAAAGTCAAGAAGAAACAATATAATCCGTGAACTTTCTTAGAGCACAACAAAACACTTGTTCTAAGTAACGGATAATGTGGGAAGAGGGGGTCATTAATGAAAATAAAACACCGGGACGATCATGGAGCCCGACGGCCAACCAACAGTGGATTTTATTTTCATTAACCAGTCTTTAAACCAGAACCCATACGGTGTTCCCTTAAGTGTTGACTTCCTTTTGATCCTTTTGATTTCTCTGACGTCGCTCTGTCTGTTGACCTCTTTCCTTCTCTTGCGTTGTTTTTGTTTTCTTTACTGGGGACAGTTTAGCTATCATGAATCCAAAGCTTCAAGCTCTACACAAATATAAAAGTGAATATTCAAAAAGTATTCCATATTGTTTCTGATACTAATGTTTGTTATCCACAGCAGGCATTAAATTGACCGGACTTCTTTCTGCGGATTGATATGACTGCAGTAATATAGTCCCATGATCTAAAGCCACGGTGTGTTAGCGAGTATTAACAACCTCTGAAATGTCTGAATTGACCAATCAGAATCGAATACTTAACTAAGTAACCATATAAAATGTAATAAAAGGGATTTGCTCTTTTAAAATGAGCTCAAACTTAAAACACATGTAAGATTTTGCGATATTAGCGCATACAATTTCCAAAGTTAAAATAGTATAAACACCATAAATATGGTAGCTCAAGCTTCTTAAATGGCTGTATTATTTAAGGATTGTTTCAGTCACGTATGCCAGTAAATATTGACTTTCCGCTGTAGCTCTACAGTTTCATTAAACTAATTTGGAGAAAACAAAGGCCAACAGCTAAATGAGGCGAACATTGTTTCATTCTTCAAATATTTGTTATATCTAAACCTAATAATGATTTCAATCTTTAACATTTAAAATTATACACATTTATCCTCAATGAATTTATATCTGGTCTAAGCGGTGTTAATAGATGTTATAATAGCAGGAAGTAAGTGGTAAAACAGCCTCCAGAGACTCGGCTAGTCCCACACCAGTGTTCTCGGTTTGTACAGTATTCGACAGGTGGCCCATTTAGCTGGGAACACTGCTGAGCAAAGCTTATTGGACATGGGGAATAATGATGGTGCTGCAGTAACGTCGAAAAATACCCAGAGAAGACTGGAGTGCCTTTTCAAGGGAATACTTTAAGACACAAATTGGCTTACTGAGATCTGCAGTCCCCCCCACTCTATCATAAATGACATACTCCCAAACAATGTGTACACACAAACCCTGCATACAATGAGAAAGCAGTGGTTGTGGCTGCATGTCCTCCCTGGAGGCTGAGGCTAAGAAAAATAGAAAGAAAATATTTTGCTGAGCACTCAGTATTCAGAGAACTGTGCCGCATTAAAATGAGAATTTATTTTCCACTTCTCACATTTGTTGTAAAAGGTTATCCTGGAGTTTGTCGTCAGAATCAAGAAAATAATATTTTAATATTATCATATATTTAATAATAATTGTTTTGTTAAATGTGTTGAATGAATTAAATTAAAGATCAAATAAATGAATACAAAATAAAATAAAAATGTGTATATAAATGTAATAATCTAGTTAGTAAGAAGGTTCAATGACAAAATAAAATAAAGATATTTATATAAACATAAGACATAATGTGCCTGTGGTTAGTGCTTGTCATAGCTATAAATATGTTTTTATTATATTTATTTTTAAATTCTCATATTTTAGGCAAAATAATAAAGATTAAAAAAAAATATATATATATAAATATATATATTCATACACATATATATATATATATAAACATCAAAATAAAATACTAAATATTTATATAAACACAAAACGTAATGTGCCTGTGGTTCTTAATTTGTCATATCTATACATATTTTACTTTTTATAAACACTTCACATACTGTAAGAACTGAAGTGTTTTCTTACATACTCTTTACTTCAGAACTGCTGCCCCTCACTAAACCCTTATATCACCCTCTAGTCTCTTTTAGCTAAAAGACCCAAGTTCTAATGCCTGTCTCATCGCCTGTGATTCACAAACATCAGAGAAAGTAAAAAGAGTGGTGACAGTTGAGTTTTAAAATCCTCACACACCACAGAGCCTCTCTTCTGCTGACAGTGCTGTCGGCTGAAGAGTCAATCCCAGCGGACGGCAGTGGAGGAGGTCGTTCCAGCGTCTGGTTCAATAGCAGTTTAGCAGCCTTCGTTGACAGTCTGCATCTGAGCTGAGAGCAGCCGAGCTGACAACAGACACGAGTCAGGCTGTCTTACTCTACGCTGCCGCCCGGCATTATGCTGCCCTCCGGTAGATTTGTGGTTAGGTCATTTTTAGAATTAGTTTGTAAATGTTTAGCCTCTGTGGAATGACATAACTAAGAAAAAGTGCAGGAATTTGGTGGAAAAAAAGCACTCAGTCGTCTCCAATGATGAATCAACTTTTCAGAATGCAGCCCTTTATGTCATACTAGTCAATTAAATACAGTGTAATGTAATACTAATATACCCCTCTATATATTGTAATATACATTTTATATATTGTACCATTACCATTGCACAGTTTAACTTTGACTTCTTATGTTTATAAAAAATGTTTTTAGCAGTTTTATTTGAACTTTTTGGACATCTTACTCTAACTTCTCATTTTATATTAAATGTTTTATTTTATTGCTTTTTTTTAAGAAATTCTTACTTTAACTTCTTACGTTTATATTATTTCCTTTTTTAATTATTATATTTTTTGTTTTACTTTTATTTCATTTAGAAATGGAACAACTGTCACAAAAATCTAATTCCCCCAGGATAAATAAAGTGTTGCGATTCTGATCAAATCCAAATCACGTGATAATAGTATAAAAAACTGAAAAGCTATTTTTCCGACATTAAACAAATATTACCTTTTTTATAGTGTTTGACCAGTACATTTAAGTGTCAAAATCCTGGTTCAGGTTCCTTGCTGGGTTTCCCCACAACATATATATAGGTGTGGTGTATCATAACCATTAAATGTGATGTTTGATTCTCTTTGGGTTTTTGTATGTGTTTAAAAACCACAAAACTAGTAAGCAGCCACAAACACTGCTGCAATAAGTGCACACAATCCTAACACTGCAGGGGTGGAAACCAAACTGACATTGACTGTCACTATTTTCTCATTAGGGAGCAGTTATGTGTACCAAGGGACAGACGGATGATTTTTCTCTTACCAGGTGACACTGCCAGCTGAAAATGATGCAGCTTGTCCTCATCTGGGAAACTGGCTTTGCATGTACCTGAACAAAAGCAAATGACAGGAGTTTAGTTAGTCTGGTCAAGGGTTAAAGCCAGCAGTAGCTCCATGAAGGTCTACCATTACTTTTCTCTGTGTCAAATAATGACACTAACACTAACACTTTTATTAAAGTCCATCTCGAGCCACAGTGTTCATTCTGTCATCACAGCTAGCAGGATTTATGCCTGGGGTCTCCATGTGGCACCACATCCTCCCCTGCTGTTCAAACACATGTACCGCACCCTAGACAAATGACATCATGTGCTGGAATTCTTTTTTTACTAAATCAACATTACATCAGCTCTTTTCACTGAATCCACAGTTTAAAATGATACTCTGGATACATAAGGCTACCACATATAGTGAGACTTCTATAACGTGTGTGGTATAAATGTAAAGGAAATCAACTTTGTCCTTTACATTTAAATAACAGACCATAGAATACCTTAACTGACCAATCGGAATAGAGTTTTCAACAAGGCTATTGAGTAGATGTATGCATGTTCCATGCCCCAAGTTTATGTTTATTTGTTTGATTACAGTTAATCAGAGTCGCTTTTCTTCTGCACTACTTCTGCAGGTTGATGGCATTAAAAGGGTTTTAAAGGTTGAAAACATATATATTTGCCAATGCTTTTCAGAGGTGATTTAACACCTGCACCTCTTGTAGCATCAACTGTATTTACAATACAAAGCGTGTCATTGCGTTTTGTAAAGCACTTTGAATTGCCTGTGTGTGCTATAAGAATGAACTAACCTTAAGTTAATCATTACAATACTTTCATTGGTTTTTAAAGCTCTTAATGGTTTTGGTCCAAGCTATTTATCAAATTAGCTTTTAACCTATGAACCATCTAGAACTGTCAGGTCTATTAATACTTTCATTATACCGTGAGTTAAAGTTGTACCGCACTTCGTGTTACTTGTGTACTGAAGAGGATTAGGGCCCCATGTGATGGTTTTGGAGATCTGACCACATTTAAATAAATAAAAAATCCTTATTCCGACTATAATCTGAGAATTGTGACATTTTTTTAAATGTTTTTTTAAGTCAGAATCATGGAAAATAAATAATTTAAAAAAAATCACTTTTGGTTAGATCTCAATTGTATTTGACATCTGGCCCTAATCCTCTTCCATACCTTTGTGTATGAAAAATTCTGTATAAATAAAGTTTGATTTCATTTGCTTTGATAAACGAAAACCATACAGAAGAAAAATTAAAAGCACTGTAGTAGCTAGGTGCAAACATTAGCTTTGAGCCAATATTATCACATGTCTTTTCTACAAGACGTATAATAAAACAAATTTTTCCAGCTAAACAAGTCTTCTTCTTACTTTCTCATCAACACTGTGGGCTGCGTAACGTGTTTACTTCCCTGGATTTCATGATCCTCAGCTGAGAGAGGAAACTCATCAGACCACTAACAACAGCCGACATGCTGAGTTCAGCCAAAGCAATGATAATTAATTCAGCCCTCATGCATAATAATAACCAGACAACTGAGCAACGAAGATCCGATAAACTTTAATATAAATTCTAATTAAACTAAATAGCAGTTTGGGGGTCACAGTCTGTTTGAGCAAATACATCCTGAGGCCAGAAGTATAACAAGCATGAAGCCTGAGTAAGGCTCAAAGCACACATGTTGTTTACTTAGGCTCATTTCCAGCTCAATACAGAAAACATGTATGTGGAAGAGCCGGGTGATCTGGAAAATCAGAGTTGTTTGATGAAATGAAATGCTTTACAATTAGTTATACTGTAAAGTAGTGCAGGAATGACTGTTCAAACCCAGAACAGAGTTAGCATTTTTACCACTTACAGCCTACAAAAATACATCATCACTGCACCACTGTATATCCTATGTATTTTTTTTAATCAGTCAATAATTCAGACTGAATAGCCTTAAATGAAAAGTTTGGACGTGGACAGATAAATACAAAATAATATAAGGCATATTTGCCACCTTTATTGAAGTGATACATTCCAAAATTTGTGCTATTTTGATAGAAAAAGCAGTAAGAATGTGTCTGACTCAACAAATTGTATAAGTAAAATCAGTGTGTACGGCATGTAACGGGTAACGCACTTGACCAGGGGCTGCAGATGGTAATTAGCTATTAGCTCAAATCTGGCAAATATAATCTTTTCTCTTTTGTATTATTATGCAGTGTTCTTAGTCGATAAAAAACATAATAATTCAATAAAAATAGCATACTTACTAGGGAGATGGGCTTCAAGTTCTGAAACTTCTGTAGAGAGATAAAGAAAGAATCATAATTAAGGAGCGACAAACTGATACAGTATCAGTTGCTTTTTCGAAACAGATAGAGATAATAGAACAAGTGTGTTTCCTGGAAGAGCAGGAAAGATAAGTAAAACAAAAAATGCACCAGAGGGCAGGTTTTTTTTCTTCACAAGACCTACGTATTATGGTGTTATACTCAAACAGAAATGACTAAAAGCCTGGCAACCTTAGTTTGAGTTGTATGAAGTGCTGGTCCCAAGCCAGCTCATTAGGCAGTTTCCTGTCTAAGAACTGTATTGACCTTTAACCCAAACCTTACCTCAGTACCTAAGGAAAAATAAGTCGCTCCAATGGAGTATCTGTTTAAGTAAATGTATAGACTAAAACAAATACAGGTGATAATCCAGAAGAGAGTAAACATGAGGCAAGACAAAACAATAGAGCTAAAAGCTGAAAAGGACAAGGACAGTCCTTTAAAATGTAAAAGGACAGAGAGAGGAGGGAGATGTGTTGGGAAGCCAAGGCAACTAGAAATACCTATAAATAAAACAGACGGAACAAGAAGCAAAAACATGGACAGAGTGAAAAGAAATGAAAAGAGAGAAATAGAAATGTAGAACAAGGAACAGAACATTCATGGAAGAAGAGGAGCGTGAAAATGTATATTCCTGTATTGAGAAACAACCAAAAAAAAACGTTATCTACCTGGAGTAAATCCCCAAATATGTGTCTGTTTTGTTGTCATTATTCGAGCTGACAAAATACCGGTACCTTTGGTAAGGAGGCGGTCCCTGATGGAGACCCTGTGGGTGGAGTCGGAGGCCCCAGAGGCACGGCCCGTCTTCCCTCCATCGTCTCTCTTTAGCTTACTGGCCAACGTAAGCATGGCTGCGCTGCTGTGGTCTGCCTCGGTCTGCCCACCACTGCACTGTGCTGCTAAAAAGCCTGACAATCAGAAGGAACATAGAGAATACATCAGTCAATGGAGAACAAAGGGGGGGGGGGGAAACACAAAAAGTTCATTTCAATATCTCTTCTGGCTTACTCTCTTACTACAAAGACGTGCACACAAGGTAAACTGTGAAATCTACATTTCAAACTGTATTGAATTTCATTTGTCGTCTATCTAAAGTAGACCATAGATGTATAAAGACAACTGGATACAGCGTTAGAGGCAGGGCCCGTTCATTACAGCGAAAGATTCGCAGTGGCAAATTAATGTAAAATGGCCTGACTCTCTTCTCCCCCAAGAAAAAAAGGGATCTTCCATGGACCTTCCAGCGATCTTCCGCATGTATTGGGCCCATTCAGCGTAAGCACGTAAGCACTTGGGTTTTCCCTAGGCCCGGCTCCAATCCACTCAGTCACAGTCGGTCTCGGCTCAGTCCAATTATTGGAAAATAACTCTGGATTCAGCTGTAGCGCATTTCACAACTTTAGAACCTAATAATTGAAATGAGGGCTTTTCAAGAGTTCGTACTGTGAAGGTGATTTATCTCAAGAAAATGATATGCTGATATACAGACGTCCCTTTCACATTGTTATTCAAGGGGAAGGAGTCTTTTTTGACCGTATAATATCACAGAAGTTGCAGTACCACTGTTTTGTTATTAAGAAAATGTACTTCAAAGCCCTGCTCTCTGCCTTGGGGCTTGGTCTTGATTTGACAGCTTGACAACTTCAGCCCCCATGACACTGCACAGATTAAGCAGATATAGATACTTCAAAGCTGGATGGATGAAAACAACAATAGAGCAAGGAAAGGGTCTTTCAGGTACATCATATGTTATACATACTATAAGGCCAAAGCTTAGCTGTTAAATTATAGATCTTAAAATCACATCATGTTGTAATTCTACATTAAGTTTCAGCGTTTCAATCATGCATATTCAGACTAACCAGGTCTCATATATAGGCAAAGGGGTAATAGGGACAGAAATAGCAAGTGGTTAATGAGCAAGACACAGGGAAATAATAAGGTCTCATTATACTCCTTCCTTTACTTCCTATAGCAATAAACTAACAGCTATGACAACATTTAATTACGGTGGTATAATTGAGTGCTTGACATCGATTAGAGGAGTCAATTGCAATAAGGACTCCCCGTTAAGAAAAGACGTGTGGTGCCAAATGAGTTATAGACTTGTTATATGAGACTACATGCAGCCAGAAACTGAGGCGATCAATACCACAGCAATAACAATTGTCTCTATTCTCTACGACGAAAAAAATGGATGCAATATATGTTTAAAGAGTTACATTTAGACCATCTGCCGGAAAAGAGATAAAATATCATATCATAAAAATTGAATTTATCTGGCAGAAGGGAGCCTACAGTGACAAGCATCAGAACTGATAGAATTAACAGCAATTTGGCCAAACTGCATGATATTCAGCAGATAACGGTAACAGCAGAGTAGTAGAGGACAAAAGCATGTTTCAACATCATGAATCTTCCAACTTCCCTCTTAGACACTAAGCAGGAAGCCATCATTTACTGTATGTTTGACATTTAAATTCTTTAAACTGAAAGATGAAAATATTCACACCTTGCAAATGTCTTACTGTTAAACAATGTTTTTGAAAGCTTGACATGTCCTGAAAGTTGCTGTAAAACAATTTCCGGTTGAGTCTGGGAAAGATAATGTATCAAAATATGGTATACATTATTTTTTGAATTAATTAATAACATAATAATTTAAAGGTCCCCTATTATACTCTTTTTCAACAATATATTATAGGTATCAGATATATACAAAACATGTCTGTGAAGTGTTTGGTTTGAAATACACACAGATCATGTGTTCATTGCAGCATCCCATAATCCCCTCTGTTTCAGCGTTGTTTCAAAAGTGCTGATTCAGTATCTGTAGCTTTAATTGCAAATTAACTGCCACTCCCCTATGAGGAGTGTTATGTTTAAAAGAACACAATGGTGCTCTAGGAGGAGACTCAGGTGATAAGATGGGTGTTACCTTGGTTGGTTATTGGCTACTGGTTGCACAACCCAAAAAAACATTGTGACATCACAAAGTGGCCAAAGTCTGATCTGCTAATTTTCAGACAGGTTTTTATATAAATGGATCAGGACACACAGACAAATAGAAACAAACAGGATACAGTATGTAAACATATAACATCACCAATAAATGACCATTTAAAACACTACTTTCAGGGAATGTCAAGCTTTCAAAGAAGTCTGCAACCTCTTTGCATGGTGCTGCGACATGATTTCTTCCAAAGAAATGTACTGTATGACACACTGCTTGTATCAGTCACTCAATGCACATCTGCTGTATTATCCTGTTTCCTTAATTTGTCTGCCCAATATTACACTTAATATTGCAGGTGGTGCAGAAGAAGGTCTTTTAACCTTTATAGGGGAGCAGATCACTAACATCTCTGATGAATGTGTGTCCAATGAGCACCGGGGGAGCTCATTTGGGGAGCAGAAGTAGCAAAGGGTGAAGGCATCAGGTATCAGAGAGCCATAACATGTGTGTCACTGAGTCTGACTCACAGCCCAGCAGCCTGAGCTGTCAGTCACTGCACCCTGGCCTGTGGCTCACTGACACAAAGTAACTGGATGTTAGTCAAGTAGCTGCAGGGGTAGGGGCAGAGCCATGAAGCAGAAGCAAAAAATAGGCTTATACAACTAGCAAATACAATAATGAAAGATCTGCTGTGTAATCAGACTAAAGTACCCTGGCTCTACCACACAAGTGTACACACATTGGAACAGTATGTCAAACTTATTTACATAACCAATATAAAGGATACATTGGTAGAGTGATGTTAAGTGTACTTGCTCTGTAAATAAATACACCCTGTAACTCACGGTAGACAAAATTAGTCCAGCTAACTCGATACTGAAACACGTAAAAGTGCGTATTCCTCGCGACAACACCTTTTGCGGAGCTAAAAGGAATATTAATGCTAATGTAAACACTTTTATAGGTAAAGTTATAGCTTCGTCACTTTACTTTTTAACTCGTTAACCCACTGCAATAACAAACCGCTAACACTGCAGCTAATATCAGCTAGCTAAAACACTATGTCCAAGCTTTAAAACAGTCTCAGCTAAGGCTTATTTTCCGCACGTGTGCTTGAGTGCACGAGGACATGTCACTTCGTTTTGATTCAGTGAAGTCACACGCGAGTTGTTGATGAAGTATGTGTGCTAGTCGGTGTTAGCTTGTGTGTTTTCTGAGCGTTGTGTTTTACCTTCTGTCTCAGAGCTAGCGCCCCTTGCTACACCATAATAATCCGCACTCCTCGGTTCAAGGCGCTGTCTGCGACTCCAGCCGGAGGTTATAGGACGCACGTCGGACTATAAATAACTTTAAAAAGTGATTATTTGGGACTCGGAGTGGATTTAAACTGATTGGGGAATCAGCTGTCAGAACTTCGCTCCGGTGTCATGGGCAACGGAAGCGCAGTGAATGCCGTTTGTTATTGTTGTCCGGGTAGACATGGCGGCAGATAATCAGTTCCGCAGAGCAGAGGACGAGCTGGTTCCATAGATAGACTGTATACAAAGGTCTGTTCTAGCATTTTCAGCTATGGAAATTAATAGAAAAGTAAAAATACAAAGTTAAAGTAATAAAATTGTAAAAATAATATGCTATAATTTAAATTCCTGCATTGAAATTGTAACTTCAGTAAACGTTTACATGACATAATTTTTTTTACAAATATTTATTTTAAATGATACAATGTATTATTTATGGGCTTTACTTTTTTGCAAAATAAATATATATATATATTTATTCAAAAGCATATTTCTTGGCATATGTATATACATATGTCAAGAAATATGCTTTTGAATAATTTTTAAATATGCTTTTGAATAATTGTGGTGATTCTTTGTGGGAAATATTGAATAACAGTGTAGTGCTTCACAAAATCACACATGAATGTCTCCTGCTGTTCATTTATTTTTAAAAAGTAATGAAAAACATATATCTAAAAGATAAAAAATAAAAATATTTTTTTCTAGAATTTTGCTACACCTTATGTGTGTACTGTTTTTCAATTATTGGTGAAATGATCCGTAATGGATCATATCTGTATTAGTAAAATATATGTAACAGTAGCTGTGCTATAATATGTCTTTTAGCATTTTGTAGCATCTTTTATCTAATGGTAAATAACATGTAAATGACTGTAAATTACATTACTTTTAGAAAGGATTGAATATAATGCTGAAGGGGTATCCAGTCCACATACTTAACCCACCCATTATTACACAGACATCGTGCCTTAAAAATAGCACCCTTTGCAAAATGGGAAACAAAGCCTCACAGTTTGACAGAACAGCTCATCGACTTCTTGGAGCAAACCCAACTCCCCCTAAAGTATTTTGACAAAACTGTGATTCACTCAGCCAGTTGTTTTGGACCCGAGGGGCAGGAGGGCTGTCACTGTAAACAAGAACATGCTCTTAGGTGACCTGCTTGATTAGACAAAGTTTATTTTTAAAGAAGAGTCTATTAATCTTAGAGCAGATGATTATATTGTTTTTCATCTATATATATTTAGACAGGTGTCAGCCCTCAGGCTTTCTGAGTTGCTCATTCTAAAGCAGAATGTTAAGCAGAATAGAGAACAAAAGGTCATAAATCCAGATGGGATCATAAGAATTCTACAGGAAGGGCACTTTTTGGGAAAATCCCCCACCCTCTCCTCAGATGACTATAATAAATAGAAAACACAATACTGAAAATAAAGGCATTCACTTTGAAATAAAATATTTCTGTCACTTCTGTGTCTCGGAGCCCGACAGCAGAGTAAAGAGGGTAATAAGAAAAGACTGTCGTGCTTCTCTACCCAATGGGGAGTAATTAAGTGACGGAAGATGCACCCTAAGGATTTCAGACTTCTGTTTATCTTTTTGGGCAGCTTTTTAAATGAGTTTTTAACTTTGATGTCTGCATAACAATGATGACTTGAAAAATGTTCTCCTGAAGTAATAAAAACGTCTGCTGTTTGCATGTGGGCTATACAAATATTAGGGTTTTATTAGTCACTCACTGATGAAAAAAGGTCATGCAATATTATTAATCATAAAAAATATGAGGTTGTGTTGTTTACATTTCTAATAATGCATATTCCATTATTTGTTATATAAATATATGGATTTAATATCAAACAAAATGTGCCATTTGAAGCCCATATAATTGCGAAACACTTTCTGTAAATAGGTGACCTTTTTTTTAACATTTATATTTTATTAAACATTTTCAAAAGACAAAAACACACGGACAAGGACATGGCTCACACACATCACAAGTAGGACAGGACATAACATGAAGGGTGGGGGGTAGGGGATTACAGTGTCAGTTACATTTGATGTATGCATATGGCGTTGTATTTATACATGATTTGCTTCATAATATAGGTATACTTAATTGTTTAATAGGTAAATAAATGAATAGATAAATAGTCAAATAAATAAATACATATATATATGCACACATTATGTACATATACACACACACACTCATCTCTTCCTTTTATGATTAATTCACCCATTCATCCATTTCCCATTTGATTTCACATCTTTCATTATTATTACCGTTATTTTTCTGTTTCTTCATAGCTTATTTCTCTTTATTTATATTTATTTATTAATATTATTAATTAATATTATTATATTTATTGTTGGCAGCTGAGATGGTTTGAGTCCAGAGGCCTGTACTACGAAGCTGGTTCAACCTAACCTGGATATGTTGGAGTTAGCCGGTTGGCCTAAGCCAAAACATACGCGCTGGCGCTAAGCTGTACTACGACGCTGGTTATCAAGTGGATCGCTCAAGCCAGCCGTGTCCTATCTAGTTAGGTGCGCGTTCACATGAAAGGGGTGGTATTTGGAGCATTCGACCAATCTCAAACATGGACAAGCGTACTGACAGCGCAGCGTCATACTTCCTGAATGAAAAGTGAACTTTAATATTAGTCAAATATGAAGAAGTTAAACTTTAAACATCCATGACTTAAACACTTTATCCAGGATAAAAGCCACATAGCTGCACCTGCAAGGTGAATACAGCTGGTAAAAGAAGAAGTGTTTGAATGCGTACATTAACAGGTTTATGAAATCACTGCCCCGTCCAAGACACGAGTGGATCTGACTTTAATTACATTTGACTCTAGTGTTTCGTCAACTTAATGTGTTGCTTAAAATAATACTTCTGCATACAGTATGTGACACTGTGAGTGTTGCACGGCCAGATACGGCTCAAGAAGCTGACTCAAATAAGGAAATATATGATACATTATGATGTGATATGATATGAATGATAATGGGACACATCGACGTCTGCACTCACAGTGCCGCGGACTGTACTTAATGTTACTCTGATCCGGTTACTTATGTCGTGGCAGATATTTAAGTAAGCTTTCTTAACGCTAATGTTATAATAGTCAGATTGCTCTGAAGATGGGAGGGGATATTCTATTAATTTTCACGTTCACACAGTCAGTTGATTTTGGCCGGCCGTCTTTCCTGCAACGGCAGTTTTTCTGTATTTCCTCTATCCTGTAATATGAATTGATCGCTTTAAACTCCGCACACGGAGCTCTGATTGGTCAGCAGGCAGTGCTTTCACTGAGTTGATCTCTTAGCCTGCCACCTAACCTGCTCCGGAGCAGGTTTGCCGCTCAGCATAAGTTACCATGGAAATCTAGCCTGCTAAAAAGAGAACCAGCGTCGTAGGACCGGAAAGCCCGAGATTTCCCTGAAGTTAGCCGGCTAAGCGAAAATCCAGCTTCGTAGTACAGGCCTCAGGAAAGCCTTTATCTTATCTGTTATCTGTAAGCCTGTTGTCTGGCTTAACCAAATATAACAGGGAGAAAGCAGCTTCTTCCATACTTAAGATGTTTAGGAAGTCCTCCAGCCATCTATTTAAATTGAAGCAGTTGGGCTTTCTGACTTTCCAGTTCATAAGAACGAGGCGTTTAGTTGAAAGGCATGCTAGGGCTATGAGTTTACTTGCAAATGTTGATGTTATGCCATTGAGCGGGGATCCCAGCAAGCATGTAGCTGGAGTTAAGAGTATCTCTATGTTCAGAATCTCAGCGAGAGTATCTCCAACTATGTCCCATAGAGATTTTACAGCCGGACAAGACCAAAGACAATGTAAAAGGGTACCCACTTCCGCACAACCATGCCAGCATACAGTATGCCCGAGAGTGTTTGATCCATCTTTTTGAGTCTACAGGGTGTGATGTATGCTCTGTGAAGGATTTTTAACTGTATTACTCTAAACCGGACACACTTGGAGATTGATGTTGAGTTCGACCAGATTCTGTCCCACTCAACTGGGGTAAGGGTGATGCCTAAATCCTGCTCCCATCTTTTCTGTGACTGCAGATTAGTATTGGCGGTTGAGGTGAGGAGAAGTTTATATATACCTGAAATCATTCCTTTCTTGTTTGCAAGTCTTTTTAGGTTCATATCAAGGTGTTCATGACAACCTATCTTTATACCTTTTGATGTTAAGTTTTTAATATTTGATTGTAATTGCATATAGGAGAGGAAGAGGGATTTATTCAGATTAAAATCTTCTATCAACACTGTGAACGGAGTTATGATATTGTTTTTTACTATTTGCCCAATGTGTTGTATGTCATGTGCTTGCATATGTATATTATTCAATGGGTTACCGCCCGCTGTGAATATTGGGTTTTTCCATAATGGGCATGAAGGAAGGGAAATACCAGTGATGCCTAGCCTCCTTTGTACAGATTTAACCACACTGATAGAAAATAGGTAAATAGGTGACCTTAATATAAATCTATAGCTATCAGTTACCCTTTTCAAATCTACAATCACATGATATAAATACAATATGTAAAACAAAACAGGTTTTTTTCTGCAATTTTTTGTTGATGCTTTTCTTATTTTGTATTTCATCTGCTAATCATAAAGTATTAGACACATAATCTGATTTAAACCAATGTGAAAAATAACACATTTACATGTATTTTCTTGAACTTTTAGTGATTCTCCAAGCTAAAGCCTAAAGGGCAGAATTGAAAGCCATGACAAAATATAAACAATTATAACCCTTATTAAATGTACAACAGAAACCCCCACTCGCTCATCCTGGCTCCTACAAGTGTTATTCTCAATTCTGATGTAGTTCTCAGAAAAAATGTAATCTGTATGGCTGTTCTCATTGTCTTCTTAAATGTGGCTGATATCAGATTTCCCTGTGAACTGGTCAAGGTTCTGAACTGACCAGCAAGCTTGCAGATTCCATAGCAGATGAAAACAAGGGCACGGACAAAGAAATGTGTCCATTTGACTTGTGTTGTTCACACTGTTGTGCTAAATCATCAGATGGGGGAACAGCAAGGTTTTGCTAACGTCAGAATGCTAACATGCTTACAGTGACAATGCTAACATGCGGATGTTGGGCAAGTACAATGTTTACCATGTTCCCTTTTAGTTTAGCATGTAAGCATATACTTGGAGGTATGTGGTCATACACTGAAATTACTGGACACATTTAAATTCAACCTGATGATGGCACTATTTTAAAACTCAGTGTATTGACAACTGTAATGGCAGTCTATTGAAATACATGTTGAGATATCTTAGTCTTAGTTTATCTTCTAGAAAGTATTTGAACAAAAATGTTTAACAACTCTTTAAATAAATGTTCTTAAACTCCATCACTTTACAAATATAATTGTTATTGTTAATTATTATACATAAACATTACAAGCTAACCGTAACCCAAACCCCTAACCCCAACCTTAACCCTAAAAAAACATCTAACACTTACCAAACACCCAAAAAACTAAACCAATCCAACCCTAATTAAATGGTCCCTAAACATACATTTTATCAATCTAAACGTTGGTTTGAAATACTTAAGATATAATAAATACAGACACATTACAAGGGTATAAATGTGTCTCAGAGTACAGTAAGTTGTTTAGAAGTCCTTAGTGATAAGCAACTGCTGCCTTAAAATCTCTTAAACAGACACAGATTAGTGTTATCAATCACAGTCCATAGTTGTGGATATCCCACTAAAGTTGGTACATTTAAGTTGACCCTTTATAAGATGCATTTTCTTAGTCTTATACGTAAGCGAGGGGAAATAAGTTGGGAACACCACCAGTTACATGTACATTAAAGTGACATGTTGCTGTCATTTTAATCAGACTGTGAGTGTGACTGCAGTGACAGTAGCCCCAGTGCCTTTAATCTTACTCATGTAGAAACAAAGTGTTACACCGGGGGCTTTGCTCTTCCTGCTGGACCACATGGCCCACATGAGAGTGTAGTGTCTACTCAGTTTAAGAGGGAAAAACGTCTCTGCTGCAACAACACATCCTGTGTTATGCTGTGTGTTCACTTTACTTCTGCTGAACTGTTGTAATACGCTGCAGAAAGAAAGAAAGCGCATCTGCTCAGCTATAGCTAACCTTACAGATCCAGTATGTCAATGAGGACACCAATGTTGTTTACAACATTGTTTGGAACAAATACAATTGTTCCTACATGGAACTTCTTCTATAGATTATCTTATTTGGGGTGAACAGTCCCTTTGATTTAAGATGATGACTTATTAGCAATATTCCTTTCGCATTAAATATTTGCCTTGGCAGCGTGATATGATTGACACGTGTAATTTTGAAGAAAGAAAAAAGTACCTACGTGAAACTACTCACAAGATCTGTGGATTATCTTCTCTTTTGGGGTGAACTGTCCCTTTAATTTGAGATGTAGTTTATTCACAACGTATAAAAAAAATTCCACAGCCTACTAGTGCTATTAGTTTGAGCACAGATCCTGCCTGTGTGATGTTACGCACACACTTAGAATGGTGAGATAGCAACATCTGTGCAGCAGACACACCAGACACTGCTCACTGTTTGACTCTGAAGTCAGTCCAACTCACTCTGCATTATTTGAACATAACAGGAGTAGACTAAAATGCTGAGTCACCATTTATGTATACAGTCTATGGTCACCATCTGAGCCAGGCATCATTAATGTGAAGACTGAAGAGGCAGAGTCAATTTTCTTCTGTCACAGAGAAAAATATAAGAACTTCCTCTCTCAGACACACATTACATAACGTGAAACTTTATTGAGACGACCAACTTCTGTTTGAGCAGTAAAATCCTCCATTATTTGAATATGGGAGAAGGAAAGACTTTTCTCGAGGTTGATACAAATGAGTAGGCAAATTGTGTCAAACGCATATTTGTATATTTAAATGTGAGTGCTGAGAAAAAATACCTTTTTTGGAGACTTTGGGTTGTGTAACTCCTGCATTATCCCTTTAACAACAGTGCATATATTACATTAAATATGGCTATATAACGCTATTAAAGTTTTTGTTCTTGTGTGTTTGTGTGTTTAAAAGCGTCTTTGAGCATTAGGAAAAGCACTATAAAAATCCCATGTATTATTATTATTATTATTATAATAAGTTAAATCTGTGACATCCACAGATATACGAGGTTTAAGGAAGGCGAGATCTTATCATGAAAAGAAATACAAATGAAAAACAGATTGATAATAAAAACATATCACTTGAGGCTCGACATGTGGCGAGGAGAGATCTGATTTCACGGGATGGGAAGGTAATGTTTTCCCTCAATAATCTACCAGACAATAGCACCATGTTTGTAAGAGATCTGAACGGAACTCTGTGCTCATACAGCTGCAACAACAGATACAGAGGAAGGCTCGGATTCACCAGATGGTGCCATGGTTATTTTTTCAAATGAAAACCTTGAGCTGTTGCACATGACCTCACTTAGCATTTGTGATGATTCACCATTTAAATGAAAACTACAACAACACCCAAACTGGACGGCCTTTCATATTACAAAATATCAATGAATTGTTGGTAGTAGTGAGGGACTACACTACAGTACATGCACTGCATGAATCAAGACAGAAGTGAACATTATAACCAATAATGTACCTGTTTTGATCAATAATACTGTATTTTTTACCAAAGCAATGACCATTCAAATACACGTACCTTTGGTAAAATGTTATAGTATGACTGGTATTCAAATAGCTCTATGTTAAACGATTAAAAAACTTGCTTCTCTTGTGCAGAACAGACAAACTAGCCAACTCAAAATGCAGGTATTGTTCTCTGACCATGTCTGTCCATGGCCTCAAGTCATGCTAAAAGCTATGCATTGTCCAACTAATGGCTGAACATTTCTGCACTGCCAACACTAAAACATGTTTGTAATAAATGTCTCCCTGACTAAGATTCAAAACCTAGGAAAGAGACCAGACCAACACAGATGAGGGCATTTGGGATATTTTTTTGTTTGTGAGAATGAGGATAAAGAAAAAAGAGTGCAGGATTCTGTCCGGACAGATCTTCCAGTGGTGGGGAAATGTTGCTGAGAGCATTTCCACTCAAACAGAGGGGGATGCTACAACAACAGGCCTGACATGCATCACAAACACTACTAATGACAAAAACTGTGAGACTAAGGAAGAATCGGAGGATTATATAGGACATATAATGTAGTGTAAAAAAAGATATCATACAGAAGAAGTTATTTTTTAGTTTTGCGAGACAAAACGTATAAGGCAAGTAAATCAATGCAGGTAGTCTGCATCTGCAATGTCATAAAGACAGAGAATAGCCATATAGACTATATGGACAAAAGTGTGAGTACAAAATCTCTGAGAATTAAAAGAAAAAGCAAAAAAATTGGGTCACAAAAATGACCGGATCTACAGTAGCTACTGGAAGAAAGAAAACGTGAACAACAAACTTTCAAAACACGTTTTTTTCTTCCCATATGATCAGATACAATAATATTGTAACCAGGCAGAAATACTGATGATACTGAAATACTGGAGTTTTTCAGTTTTCTCTGTTTTAAATGTATGTTGATTGAGATATGACTCTGCTCAGGTTTATGTCTAATGTTTATTCAAATGCACGTTAAGATTACTTTTGGTAAAGCACAGTAATTAAATGTGCTTTTTTAAGGATTGATAACTCTCAGATTGCTAGCCTTAGTGAGGTGTGTGAAGATAATTGACAAGAATTATAGAAATCTGAAGGACAGCCTGAAGAAAGAACATTTAAGACTGAACATAAAGAAGCCCAGGCTGTGACGAGACCTTTAAGGCTGACAAGATGAAAATGTCTTTTTGGGTCAGACTTTTGCCTGCAGCAGAAAGCAGACTTCTTCTCAGCTCTGACACACTGGACTTTCCTTTCTTCAGTCAAATATTGAACAGGACATATCAGTGTCAGTATTATATAGAAAATAAACTGAATACAGTGGGGCATCATTTGATCTGTTGTATGCAGTGTTGAGAAAGCTAGTATGAAAAGTGTAACTATTGACAGATTGACAATGAACTGGTAGTGATGTTAGTAAAAAAATTACCATCAATTTAGTTTATTTAAAACCGTGCCCACATTCACAGGTCATACATAACCCAAAGTGAAATAAAAAATGCCCTTAAACAAATTATTGACTCGCACCATTTTAAACCGACTTCACATGTCAATTACAGTTAAAGCAAAAGTAAAATAACAACATTAATTTCCTTCTAAGTTTCAACATTATTTGTTGTTTTAGTAGTTAATAGCTAAAAAAAGTAATGAAACTATTGAACTCGTCACTTTTGATCGAAGGTCTCCCTCTAGTGGTATTTTAAACAACAGCCTTTCCTTGTTCACAGTGAAAATCAATGACTACACATAGCAGAACCATATTGAAGTGTAGCTACTGCTTTCACATATATACACACAAAGAGCTGGTGTGAACAAATGAACATTATGGCCAGATGCAGATATACTGAGGAGTAAGTATGTGCAGCTTTTTACCAGCTTAGCTTGGTTAAACTTTAATCAGTTTTAATTACATAGTCGATTATTTTTACTACAACCATTGTTTTCCCAATCTATTGTTTTATTGTTTTAATCTCTCCCACTTTTGTTTCCTCTCAATCCGACATAACCCGTATTGTTCCATTTGCCAAGATTATTGGTATCACCAGAGGTGGGAAGTAACTAAGTACATTTACTCAAGTACTGTACTTAAGTACAATTTTGAGATACTTGTACCTTACTTGAGTATTTCTATTTTATACTACTTTGTACTTCTACAACTCAGAGGTGAATTGGGTACTTTTACTCCACTACATTTATTTAATATCTTTTTCTGTATGCAGATTTGAATTAATGATGTGAAATATAAAGAACTTTAGTTACACCTGGCGTAAATTCACAAGTTACCCTGCAGTATACAAAGTAATTGAAATCAGTTGGAACTTTATCAGCTTTGATAACACTTGAATGCATCATTAATTATAATCAAAACAGGCCTATATTATTCGGAAAGGGGCCAATCTGCACAATGACTACTTTTACTTTTGGTACTTTTTAAGTACATTTAGATGCTAATACTTCTGCACTTTTACTTGAGTAACAACATATTGAATGCAGGACTTTTACTTGTAACAGAGTATTCCTACACTCTGGTACTTCTACTTTTACTTAAGTAAAATATCTCAGTACTTCTCCCACCTCGCTTACTTCAATTTGAAAGAAAAATCTTTTCAGATCACATTTTGACACATTCTGTCTCAGTTTTTTTAACAATACAATAACTGGAGTGTAAAAACGACAATAGCACGAAGCTAGCTGTTCCCCGTTTCCAGTCTTTGTGATAAGCTAGGTTAAGCTAAGCTAAGTTAAACTAAATAGCAGCTTCTTCCAGCTTCTAATTTAGAATGAATTAACAAGAGTAGGATTCATTTTCTCTCATTTAGCTATCACCAATAAGATGAATAGGAATATATCCTAAAATGTTAAACAATTACTTTTAAAGAAGTGGCATTTGTAGGCAAAGAAGTCGGATCAAGCTAGTAACATCTAATTCACTTAGTCCTGTAGAGAGATGTCCGAGGGATTGTTTCACAAAGGGGGAGTTGACAGCAAAGTTACTCGTTTTTGAATCTGTGAGTGCTGGCAGCAGTCAGTCAGGCTTCCTGTGGTTTGCACGCCAGGAGACAGTAATATCTCACAGACACCTCCACCTCTGTCTCTGCAGAGGACACCTTCATCACGGACATCAACCTGAGGAGACAGCGGGTCATCGTTAAGTCAAAGAGTGTAGGCCTATTGGGAAATCTTATTCAAAACCTTACCTCTCCAATATGACCGTTTTAAAGAAATCATGGTATATTTGTCATGTGTTGATAGTACATCATGGTTTGCTTCAGCTATAAAACAAATGTAAATACAAATTGTTATATCATAAGTCTGTACTATATATGATCAGGGTTGGATAGCAACAGACGTAATGTTATCTGGACTACAAAATCAGATAACAAAAGTAACTATCATTTAAAACAGGGCCTACTGTTGTTGTTGTTATTGTAACATTGTCAACGTTAACTTGATGACATTTTTGATTACATCTCAAATTATAAAAGAGTAAATTACTCCTCTCAGGTTGCCAATTTTGTAAATTGTGATTGAAGTAATTATTGTTTTTTATTGATGATATATGGAGTTTTGATTACTTTGTATTCATCAAATGTTTGGAGCTTTGTCACTGTTTAGTAATAATATGCAATATTTTCGATATTTGATTGTGAAATAATATTAAAAAATCACTATTTTAATTACAAAATTGTCATTAACTGTGTACTCAGTAACTTATTATAATTTTAAAATACAAAAGATGATTAGTGTCACATATAGTTGAGGTCAGAGGTTAATGTCAGACCTCAAATAAATGTTCACACTTGACCCCCTTAACCTTTTCCAGACTAAATAAACTCACCAAGCCTGCTACTAATACTTTTCACAGAGCATTGTCAAATGTGTGATGTGCACACATATGTACATTTTACTGTATGTATAGTACAATTTGCCATGTACCTGTGACTGATGTCCTGAGACAGGGCGGTGGCTTTCTGCAGGTCTTCTCTCACCAGAGTCTGATAGCTGGAGAAGGACTCCACGAACCCCATGAAGCTGGAAAGAGGCATGGGCCTTTTCACGCACACACACTCATGCCTGTAATACAATTTGAAACAACACAGTCAGTACCATATCAACCATAGATGATTTTCCATTCTAACCCAAACTTGCAGCAAACAACTAAAAGAAGCTCTTACCACTCCTTGTCAGGGTAAGGGAGGGATTTATACGCCTCCCGGTACAATTCAATCGAATTGGAACCAAGGTGGGCACTGCGGTAAGGAACCAAGGCTGCATAGAACTGGTACAACCAAGAGACAGGAAGTTAGGAGATTCTTCATCACTATCAATAGAGCATGTCTGCTTCAGCTATTTAACGCTATAAACAGCTTTAATACCTAGCTTTGTGTGCATACTTCTACTTGTTTTAAAGGTCCCATGTCATGGCCATTTCTACTGATCATAATTCCATTGTTGAGGTCTACTAGAATAGAATGCTGCGTGGGGCCTGGGTGCCGTGTTGGCGGAACGTTGCGGGGCTCGGTGCTCCGCCCTTTGAGGCTCGAGGAGCCGACAGTGTGAGCTGGATTACTGGTGTCGTTTCCTGGTTGCTGCGTGGGGTCTGCGAGACAGCGAGACACCGCTCACAGCCAGGATGTGAGTGTGTGGCGAAATATGAGTGGAGATCCGCAGAGTACCGCGGCTGAGAAAAGATAAGGCTGAGTGAGTGTGTGTGTGTGAGGAGCTCCACGGATTGGTCCATTTGGACCTGGGTATCGTTAAGTCACTATACTCAGGAAGAAAAAAATGGAAAAAGAGAAATCTCCAACGAGGCGTTCTGGGGCAGCATAGACAGGTATTTTCTGTATTAGAGTTTTACTCGCTACAGGGTGTACTTTATTTAATCGTTTATTTGAACCGGGACAGTGCACATTGATGAACACTTTAAAACAAAATAATGCTTAAAGTGTAAATGAGCCGGATTTTAGCTTTGAGCTCATTTCCATCCGTAGTCCCATCACATACAACATATAAAAACATGACATTTATATAAATAGCAAAAATAAATACATGATATGCAGGAAGAGCAAGAGCAGCATACAAGCATTTACCACATGGCAGTACAATGTAGCAGCTATGATATATAAAGTGCAAGATAAGATAAAAGAGATACATAAAGTGCAAGAGGAGATACCCCTGTGTTAAAGTGCATTTAGCGGTGATTACACGTCTGTTTGTTGCTCAACCATTCTTTAAGTTGTCCTTTAAAACTACTGAGAGAGGGACAATCCCGTATCTCAGTTGGGAGGCTCAGAGTGAGCTGCCTTTAATGGAGAGGACATTTTGTCCAAAAGTTGTCCGTCTGCGGTGGACTTCACAGTCTCCTCTGGTTTCTGACCTAGTGCAGCATCCAGTGTGTTTTTTGTGGATGAATTCCCCTAAGGGGGGGGGGGGGGCCAGTCCATGTAAACATTTATAAAAAAAACACATACTTTTAAAAGACTTAAAACTGTCAAAACTCAAGAAATTGTGATTTTCTAGGATGGTACTTTGAGGGTTTGTGACTCTGCAGACCGTTTACATGCAGTCAAAGCTACATAACACACAAGGGGACGGGTAATAACCGGAAAAGCATGACATGGGACCTTTAACACTTTAATGGTGTCTGCCATCCACTCATCATTGTTTTTGCAACCTAAGTGAGTTAAATTAAGATCCACTAGATGGTGCCATTGTTCATTTATAAAAGGTGCCTTGATTGGTTCTGGACAGAAACTCCACATATGATGAGAAGACTAGTGAACGTGTCATGTGTTTTTCGTGCTTTTGTAATTTTCTGGGGAAAAAAACAATCTCAATCTTAGTGTTAACAGTTCCAGTATTATTGACTGTGCTGCACCACACTGAAACCTGCCTCTTTAAGTTTGAACGTTTAAGCAAATTATTATTTAATTGGCTTTAATTCAATTTAATTTAATTTAAGGAACTACTTGGAAATTGTCAACTAGGAATCTGAATTTGAGTATAGTTTATCTAACTCTGCCCTCTCCTTGTGTCTGGAGGAACTACATTTTGCTTACTAAAAGGAAGGAACAGGAAGCAAGGGGGTCTTGTGGCACAAACAGTTGTTGATGAGCCAAGGGTAATATATTGTCAGTAACGATGATTAATTTGTTTAGTGTTGTGTGATTACAGTATGTATTCACTCAATATTCACTGAGTACATCTGAAGAAAAGCTGGGGGCTGTTAACCTGTAAGCTGAGAGGGGGGTTAAAAAAAGGGGTCTTTTTTGTTTGTTTGCAGGGTTAGGGTGAATGCAGATTTTTGTTATCCATTTAAATTATTGTATCTTGCAATCTTATTTTATTGTGAAAACCAAACTAAAACGGCTTGTATTTTGCAAAAATAACTTCTTCCAGTCCCTGTAAATCTGAGGGTATCAGCTTAGTCTAAAAGTAAGATAAGACTGTCCCCTCCTTAGAAAAGGTTAACATTAGATATAGGTTTGGCTTGAAATTGCTACGATAAAACTCAGATCATGTGAAAGGTAAATACTGAAGGTTCCTTATGGTTTTTGAGGTTAGCTTGGTTTTGATGTTCTGCTGTACAGTATGATGTGTGCTTTCCTTGGTGAGTGACATCAAAGCTGTAATGTAGATTGTGCAGGATTCGAGATATTCAGGTTTTAAATTGCTAAATCGGCAATCTAAAAGGGGATCAAACTATAATATTATGTGCATGTAATCTGTCATGCTTACTGGGACACTTCAACACAACCATTGTTAATGTAATAAGTTAAACCTGTTCCTCATTGCTAAACAGCCTTAAATGTAGCTGAGGGAGATTCACTTATATTACAGTAGGTAATGCACCTCTTGGCAGATTTGGTTGAGTGTCTGAGAGCAGCAATCAGGGTAGCTGAGCTCCATGTCCATGGTGTAGTTGAGCAGAGCCATGCAGCCCCGGGGCTTCAGCACTCTGTGGGCCTCCTGCAGGAAGCGTGGCCGGTCGAACCAGTGGAAGGCAGACATGGCTGTCACCAAGTCCACTGAGCTGTCAGCCAATGGCAGCTCCTCAGCAACACACTGTCTGAAGAACAAACAGCCGGATTAAACTTTGAACCCCTGCTGACAGAATACAGCGCCGGGGATTTCAACATCTTTCATGCCAAAGAACCCTGGACTTAAAGAAATAGACACTACCTACTACATATGTAGAAAATGGAGTTGGGTATTAAACTGGGACTACAATAATGTGTTTGGTGGCCTAAAGCGCCATGTACTGTATAAACATACTTTTTCTTGGTGCATTCAATACTATGCTATAAAAAAAAAACATGTCAGAATAGCTTAAGAGTTCCCAGAGATTTAACATTAGCTAGCTCACGTGATTACACAAAGATTAATGGGTAACAAATAGGCTATCATGAATGTTATCCTCATTAAATGTTTTATTTGTATTTAGACATTTAGGAGATTTCTTTATAAAAACACGTTTGAGTCTCATATTGGCTTTTTTTTGTGACACTTTTACTGTCAAGTTTAATATCAAATTACTCAGTAAGGATAACCACCTCCTGAATGTCATTGCTGCTAAAGTAGTTCTATGGTAAGAATGGCCTCTGAGTGAGGTGACTGACCTGAAAGATACACGGTGTTGCCACAGTTTGCTGCTTGCTTCACCAAAGTATTTTAAAGGGACATGTGAGCAGAGGGGTATTTAGTTGATTGTGATTTGTAACAATAGATGCTGCCAAATCCTTTGCACTGTCTTTACTTTCTTTGCTTTAAGATAGCAAGATCAGCAACTGCTACAGAGTTTTAGCCAGTAAGCTCCTGCTCAACTGAAAAAAATAACATTTTGAAATGAAGTTTCTTGAAGTGTTTTTCAATATTATATTTTATACAATACTTTTTCAATGACTTACGTGCACTGAGTGCCTGGTTTGTTAACTGCACTGTGATTTGTTTGTATACATCCTCATAAGGTGAAAGTTTACATGTATTGCAGCATCTTTGAACTTGCACAAAGGACTCACTGCTTATAGAAAAGCATGTCTAGTAGCAGTACAATTCCCAGCAACAAAATTGCTTTGGTAATTGCTGAATAATTTGAGATTGAATATGGTATTTTATTTAGTTAACATATATATGATGTGCAACAGCATGAGAACAGCACCGTTTTATTTTTTAAGGTTTTGAAGATTTCTTACTTCTATAACCAACCCTGTGTAATATGAAATCATAAATGACACAAGCATTCGTACTTTACAGTCCGGTGCTGATAGGACATTGTATTTCTTACTGCATGACCAACTTTCACCAGACAAGGGTGCCATTGTTCTTTCTTTTGACGAAGATTCAATAAGGTACTTTGCTTATCAGATTTGTTTGAACTAAATTAACATGTATTGTTAGTTGTAGTGTTTATTTAAAACAGTTGTTTGATTTCACACTCTTTAGCCAAGGAAAAACAAATATATCCCAAGAAAAAAAAGTATTGAATACGATTTGAAAGTTGCCTACAGAATACATGCATGTCTTTAATTTATTTCCTTTGCAAGCTCCGACTCTAGTTAAAAAAAAAGCTTATTTGTGACTGTGGGTTTGTTCATACTTGTAGGTGATGTTTGGCTCTTTGGAATGCTGTAGAGCCATTTCCACCTGGGCAGGACTAACGTCTGTCGCCACCATGGAGGCAAAGTGTTTGGCCAGCAGCACGGTGCCCTGTCCTGATCCGCAACCCACATCCACCGCCAGCTCAAAGGGATGTCCTTTCTGACAAGATATTTAGCACGTTAAAATAATTATACAGCCATGATCACCACCATTTTTCCCCCCACTTGTACTTACATGCTTTTCCAGGAAGTCAAGCACCTGTTGTATGAGATTATCTGATGGAGAGATCCTGAACTTCCAATAGGAAGAAGCATGGCTTTTGCCCTCAAACAGACGGTAAGTCATAGCAAGTTGGTGCCTCTGTCAATAGCTGAATAAGATAAAAAAAAAAAACTAGAGCAATCTATTCTATGTTCGATTGTTTATTGTATAAAAGGAGCTAACTGGCAGTCACACACACACACTCACCCAGTAGAAAGCAGAATAATTAAACAGGGGAGTTCCAGGGGAAAATGGACGGCCCACAACTGAAAGGCCTCTTGATTTGTTTGTTTGTTAATGAAGGCCTTTAAAGGGACAGCACCAAACTCTTTTACATGCTCTGGTTTCTAACTTTTTTTGACAATGCTGTGTTTCGAGAGTAATCCATGATAATTACGTTGAATGGAAATCAACGTCAAGCTGTCAAGCTCAAAGGTCTGTTTGAGTAATTGGGTCAGCTTATGTGATTTTCTGTCAGAACCAATGGGAACCCTATGGAGAGGATGGGGGTGAGGCACCAATGGAATGTGTACAAGAATGTTGTTATAACGACATCCTGCGTGGAACTCTCCTCTTTCTGAATCTGTTGGCTATTCAACACAATGGTACTCTTTAACTAGGGGTGCTTGTTATTCATTCTCCGTGCTGTAGAACTGTAAAACATAGGCAGCGGGCAGCAGAATTTGGTTTAGTCCATTTCCTGGTGTAAGGCAATACATTTAATTGTAAATAAAAAAATGGTAACAATGGTTTTATTGGCCAATCATATAAAAAGTAAGCCACCTTACCATTGTGATTTTAATTGATCATACTTAACGGTTAGTAAGTGTTCATTGGTTGCATTAGTTTCAAATGGACACCACATACAATCCAAAGCTTTGATTGCATCATGAAGATTTTTCCTTTTGTGAGAATAGCTTAAGCTTAACAGTCATTCCATTCATTTTCCAATATACTTGTGTGCAACTTTCATCACTACGCAATCTTGAAAGCTGAATATGAGATTATTGGGTTGAACAAGACGTTTTATTGCTCACTTGTGTTTCAATACAATACCACCAAAAAATTAACCAGCATTAAACCAATAATCCTGATAATTAGTTGGATCTTTCTATTTTACTTCCAAAACACAACTCTTATGGAGATTATTACAAAAAGCACATATCAAAATTGACCAAAGTGGATTAGGTTTCTGCCACAAAATCCTTAAAATAGAGTAACATTTTCAACATTAGGCATTTTTTTTATTACAGTACAGATGGGTTGGCCTTCTCTTTCTTTGTAAGAAGCTGTGCTGTGAATAGCTACTTTGATTTAATTACAGTGTACAAAGCAGGTACATCACAAACTCTGCCAAGCAACACTAAAAAAAGAGAAAGAATAAAGAAAAGGCAAAGATGCCATTAAAGTAAGTAAAGAACCTTGGCTAAAAAACGTCACTTATCATTTGAACCAAAGCATCTAAGCACCCCTTTTGTGAAATAATAAAGGTAGGTTATTTCAAAATAATATCCAGTTATGTAACCTCTCATGGTTCAGCTACTCTAAACGGAAACAAATTGAAAGGAAGTTACACTGCAAAAGCAAAACTTCAAGACTAGAAAGAGACAGTAGATGTTTAGTCTATAAAGTATTTAATAAATCATCTGTAAACTGGTCTAAACATTGTGTGAAAGATTATATTCTAAGTCTGGTCAAAGATGATCCACATGCATTACACAAGACGGTCAATGAGTTGAACTTGAGGGAAAACATTTTTTACATTTAACAAATCCCTCCATCAATGAGTAACATCTTATAGTTCATAAGTTGTAAATGTTAACATCTAAGGATCACAAACTATTTCTCAAAACACACACCCAATGCCACATGGTTGATTATAGTGGTTTTGATGCCAGGACACAGAAATATTCCAGTTCCTGCTTCATTTCCATGTCAGGAGACATGACTCCCATCTCCTCCAGAAACCTGTGAATCAGTGCAAGTCAGTGATTAGTCATAACATTACAATAAAACACATTTACGATGCATGTGTGTGTATGGATAGATGACCTGTTCTGAGTATGAAGCAGCAGGTTTTCAGCCGTCTGGGGATCTTTCTTCTTGTAAGCTTGGAAACTGGAAAGTGACTCAATGAAACCCATCAGGTTCCTCACAGAGGTCGACGAGTTCACCTGAAGGCCCTCAACCCTGTTGTATCATTATATAATGTATATTAAGACAATTAAAAAATGCTGTCGCATGAAAAACATCTTTGACATAATTTTACTATGAAACTATCATTAATTCAAGACAGCAAAAGTAAGCGTATTTCTGATTTAAGGAAGAAATTGGGATTTCAGCTCTGAACCACTTAGTTATTGCATGTTTTTGATGACAATTTAATACTGTATCTGTCAAATCTCATAGGTTTGTTTAGATCTTTGTTGTTATTTACCTTTCTTTGTCGGGAAAAGGGATGGCTGAGTAGAGCTCTTCCAGCTTGCCCAAAGCCACAGCTACTTGATTGCTAGTGTATGGCAACAGTACCTGCCTCACCTGTAAATGTAACAATTAAATGTGTAAGATTTGAAGTTGGGTTGTATGAGGTAAGGTTACAGTAAGAAAAATATGTTTTATTTTAACAAAGGGGGATGCTGGTCTACCACCGCCTTGATCGGTTACTTTGTTTCTGTTATTGAGTGACTTTGGTGCAGGGGTAGACCAGCAACTCCTGTGTTCTGCGAGGTACAAATGACAGTTGTTTTGAAAGAGTCGGACGGCTATGAAGAGAGAAATGGCTGAGATGGCTGTCTGAGGGCATTGAAAACTGGGGAAAATATTGTAAATATATAATGCACTTAAACTGAAATTGATTTATTCGCATGGCTAAAATACCTTTTTCTGCTGTCCCAGTCGACAGCGGTACATTGGTTAGCTAGCCATTACTCCTGTGTGTTCTTTTGCCTACCCCAATGTACTAAGATAGTACACTATGGGAAAGAACCTCATACTAACCCTCTTCCAAACATCCAAACTATCCTTAAGTGCAGGGCTGGATATGGGAGGGGGTTAGCTTAGTTAAGCATTAAGACTGGGCAAAGTTGGAAACAGCTTGGACGTCTCTGTCCAATGTTTCAAAATGTGTCACAAACACACATAAAGCACATCATTTATGCTGTATTTTGTTTGTTTACTTCATTGGTCATAGGGGGAGTTAAGTGGCAAAACTAGTATTTCTTGACCAACAATGAAACATGGATCTACATAATACTGTGCAACATCTTTGGCTATTTTGCAATTTAAAAGATAATTTTGCAAGTCAAAAAAAAAAAGATGTGTCGTAAAACTGTGAAGTAACACATTTTTTTGTGTGAAACCGCTCAATGAACTACATCTCTGGTCTCGCACAACAACACACGTCACCAAGATGGCCGTCACTACTGTCTTGCCTAAAAAGGGATTGACTACCCTCACTATCACCACAATGAAACACGTCCAGAAGAATGTCATGCAAAGCTGCCTGCCTGCCTTCCTTTGATTCTCTCTGAACTGCCTGATCTTTTTAATGTTTAATGTCAACCATTTGTGCAGATAGCATGAAGTAGAAAAGATCGCCGATGCTAATGTAGCGTTAGCGTTAGCATTTCTCCCCCGGGCTTAAATGGTGTATTATAGAATGATCACACCGGTGTGACAGTACTCTTCAAAGGGTTCACGAAATATGACTACTACTCTTACTGTTTAACATTTTGGGTTACTTAATCAAATCAAATCAAATCAAGTTTTATTTATATAGCACATTTTTAAACGATTTTTGGTCGAGCCAAAGTGCTGTACATATAATAAAAATACCCTACAGTAAAGACACTTTACAGCAAATACAACAGCACAGTTTGTTCAGAATATCAGTATGAGAAAAACGACACCCTCTGTCCTTAGACCCTCACATCGTACAAGGAAAAACTTCCAGAGAAAAACCCACATTTCAAAGGGAAAAATGGGAGAAACCTCAGGGAGAGCAACAGAGGAGGGATCCCTCTCCTAGGACGGACAGAAATGCAATAGATGCCGTGTGTAAATCGAAGAGATAATACATTTTACAGCGTAGGTAGACCGAATGTTTGGAAATGCATGTGTCTATAATAAGAAGATGAATCCACGAAGATGTCAACAACAATCCTGTGGGAGCCATCAGGGAAGCAGCATGACGAGACCCAGGCAGGACCGCAGAGACAATGTTACTTCATGTTAAGGCTAATAAAAATGACAAGGCTAAGGCTGTAATGCTAACTAACGTGCTTGCTACTAGCTAGGTAGCTAACTTGATCCAGCCACTCCTGGTCCTTTCATCAGACGGGAAGCGAAAGAACAAGCAAGACCCATTGCTGGTATGATAACAACCTGGTACAAAGCACACAGGCATCTTGTTAAAGTTATCTTATCTTAGCTATCTCTTATTTAGTGCAGGAAAACAATTGTGACATCAGTTATGACATCACTTACGCGACTTTGGGATTTGTAGTCTTTCTAGTTGCGTATTTTTCATAGTCTTATATTTCAACAGTTTTACGACAAACTGTGACTTTTTTGACATGGAAATTATTTTTTAAGATTGACAAACATCATATGTGTAATTCATGGCACAATTCAAACGGGATCGAAAAGATACGTTTTCTCTCTTCATTGACTTCAATACATAATTTTTCCGAAATAAGGTCCCATGGACCGGAAGTACATGGGCGTGACTTCGCCACTCTATTATGTTTGGTAGAGCCATATGTATCCCCCTGCTTCAAGCCTTTACAGTCTTCTATCAGCTCTTGCCTTTCTTATTGGTGATACTGCCACTCAAAGCTGTGCAATGCCCATGGAAGTAGAGTTTACACCCACCTCTTCACATATGTGGTCGAGTCTCTCTCCACAGTCCTGGTAGTGAAGTCTGGGGAAAGAGCAACTGTAGCCCAGAAGAGCAACACAACCACCTGGTTTTAAAACCCGACATGCCTCAGCCAGGAACCTGGGCTGATCAAACCAGTGGGCTGCTGATGCTGCAGTCAGCAAGTCCACAGAGCCATCTGGGAAAGGAAGCTCCTCCGCTGACCCTTTCCTGCATGGGCAACAGACACTTGTAACTACGGAGGTCTCAATATCAGAAATGTTGTAGTTTATAAAAATACAAGTGAACATCCACGATTCTCATAATACATACAAAAAACAAACAAAACAAAAAATCCCAAGTACTCTAAAATACACTCTTTCCTCACTGTTTTCATGTTTTTTTGTTAGAAAGTGAAATAGGTTATAATTCCTTGTCATATATGTTTATATTGTTGGGAAAACAAACCATCATTTATGCAAGTTTCTTGCCAAAATCTCTTAGACCAAGTCTAAATGCATCATGATAATAAAATAATTTACCTTTGCCCAATTTTAATTATGAAGAGATCCTTAATGCGCCATCGCGCCACTCTATGGAACCTTGCTGCACGTTAGCTAATAACAGCTAACGCTAACTAGTTTTCCTTCTGTCAATTTCACTGACTTGATGTTTACAATGTATTGTTGGCAGAAAAAGGGTGCATTCCCTAAATGCGTTAAAAGGGAGTTTAGTGCGTCCTAAACTCATTTTCTATCATCCACAGAATAACTGTAGGCTGTCTGATGGTATCGCATTTTAGGGGTTTAACAGTTCTCTTGACATCCCTACATGTAACTTCAAATTGTTTATTATTTAAAAGCTTGTTACGTCCAAACATAAAGACTATCTCACACACTCCTACCTGTATGTGATGTTAGGATACCCTGGCACACCTTTGGCCTCCTCCAGTTGAGACTCGCTGATGTCGATGCCCACCACTGCCTGGAAATGTGGTGCCAGAAGTCGGGAATTCTGACCTGTTCCACATCCCAGATCTACAACAAGCACATGTGGCTTTCCTTTCTGAACAACAAAGTTATTTTGGTCAATATGGTGAATGTTGCAGATTTGAGGAGATACTGAATGGACTGATATTTAATGTATTTGGCCACGTACCTTTTTATCAAGGTACTGAAGAATAATGTTCTTTAGCTCGTCTGGAGGCGTAAATCGATACTTTTGGTAAACAGAGGCATGATCCTTCCCCTCAAAGAACCGGTATGTCATAGTTTTTGTATTTTCTCCTTCTCTTCTGTTGCTAATGTGTTGCCCTCTCCGAAAAATGCTTGGAAACTGTGTCCTTTCTTTGTTTTTTTTCCCTTTCAGTCTCCTCTTCCTGCTGTAGTTAACCTCTGGCACATTGCACTTCTTACAGCATTTAACCTTTCACCCACCTCCTGAAATGTAGAAAAAAACAGAAATAATCCCGGAGATTAACAGGAACAAGGTAAATCAAGTAGCTGTTAAGAAATTGTAGCACAAAACTTTGTAGGAAGAACTACACAGATGAAAGTAATCCAGAGAAAAATGTTTCTTACAAGGTGAAAGCTCCCCTTGATGAAGTATGCCTTGCAACTCAGCTGCAGATCGGTTAAGAATAGGCTTGTTTGAGACGAGCTGCGGCTCGCCTCGAAAGTAGACGAGAATAGCCGATCGCAGCCGGGGGAGGTCTCAAAAAGCTCGCCTGAAGTCGGACAGCTCGGAGTCGGCTTCTTCTTCTTCTTCTTCTTCTTCTTCTCTCGGTTTTTTGGCGGATTTCAAACAACTTTAAGGTGCATACTGCCACCTCCGGAGTCGGCTTGACTCGGTTTGCATTTATAAATGCACACGGCATCTATTGCACGTCTGTCCGTCCTGGGAGAGGGATCCCTCCTCTGTTGCTCTCCCTGAGGTTTCTCCCATTTCCCCTTTAAACTGTGGGTTTTTCTCTGGAAGTGTTTCCTTGTATGATGTGAAACGTAAGGACAGAGGGTGTCGTATTGTCATACTGATATTCTGTACAAACTGTGAAGTCCACTGAGACAAATGTAACATTTGTGATATTGGGCTATATAAATAAACATTGATTGATTGATTGATAAAGAATGGACAAATGTGTTTAATCGTTAATGTCAGATATGTACTAAGTAAATACATTTGTTCCTGCTCAAGATTAGATTCAACTTTATTGTTATTGCACAGATTACAGGTACTGAGACAACGAAATGCAGTTTAGCTTCTAACCAGGAAGTGCATAAAGCAGTAAAGTGAAAAGTAATGTATACAATCTACAGAATAAAATATAGAATGAATTGAATGATGAAAAAACAGTGAGGGGTATGAATACACTATATACACAGTAGCCTAGCCTAGTATGAACAGTGTGTTGTATGAATATGCAAAGATATATAAAGTATGACAACGGTAAGCAGTGCAAGTATAGTATAAAATATATAGATATTAATGTCATGATGATAAACATTGTGGAACAATGATGAAAAATGTGAATGGAAGTGGCGACGTAAAACTGACACAAAACAACAACACACTTTTGCCGAGCCAATGGAGAGTTTCATCTCCAGCACGGGGTAAAACCCACCAATGAGCGCTCAGCTCGAGATACCAGCGAGTCGTTTCCCATCAAGCATTTCGCTTCCGCAGCCCGGGGAGAGAAACTGCGCCGCCTCGCCGCGCCTCGCTCTCAAGTCTGCGGGCGTCTTTGTCCCGCGAGATTTCAACGTCTCATGTAGGCGAGCCTCCAGAGCAAGGTTGCGTTCGAATACTCCAAAAAAACAGCTCCTAAATTCTAACCCTATCGTCTATTCCTTGACCTCGGAGTGAAACGTCATGGGGTTAAGGGATAGTGGATAGGAGAATTCAAAAGGATTTAGGAGAAGAGACTGCGGCACTTTAGAGAATCCGACTGCACTTTCACTATCCGACGTGTTTATGATGCGCCAGCAGAGGTCATAAATGTGCGCCTGCTGCTGTGGGGAAACTATGGAAACTACAGTTTTCTATACAGCGGACTACAACATGGATGTTTAATAAGAACGAGGGACTACTGTAAACTCATCTAGAGACTCTGCACCATGCTCTGATGCTGTTGTTTTATGCTTTATGAACGGGGACAACAGAGAAACATATCAAGTCGGACAAAATGACTAACCATCATGCAACGCACGAGCAAGACGTTGATCGCAATTGCGCAGGTCTGCGCAGGTCTCGCTTGTCTCAAACAAGCCTCATGTCTAACAGAGGCAGGGCCTTTTGCTTAACCCATTCATGGCCAGAGGATTTCTGCAGATTGTATTTTACAATCTGCCTATATTTTCTTTTAGTCAATTTATTGAACATGTCAGAAACAAAACATACAACAATAATAATAATATATATATATATTCTTTTTTTTCCTCACTCATAATCATAATTATAACAAAGTACAAAAAAATTATAATACAAAAAATAAATAAAAATAATTCTCAAATAGTCTCTGTCATGTTCAACAGGGGCAAGAAGAAGCTTAAAAAAACGTTTCTGGTCCTACCCCCTCTAGCGTACATTTTCCTTATAAATAAAATATTAGGTCATCGTCATCAGCAACATGTTTGTCTTGTTAATTTGTTTGTTTTTTGTTTTTTACAAAACAATCAGAAAGAAATTACTTGAACATGCAGTTTCCTCTCAACATGTGCATGCTTTCTTTCCGCGTGAAAAGTCCCTGCAAATGCATATTATTTGGTAATTGTTGATTTGCGGCTTTGAACATAATTTGAATAGTTTTATAGTCAACAAGGTCTTGTCGTTTTAGTGTTTTTAGTTTGATAAATAATTAATTTGTTGGTTCTCTATACGTAGTTTTATGTATAACTCGTACAGTATGGCTCTTTTTTGCAGGATGAAAATAGGATGTGTATTTGTTTTAATAGTTTTTGATACTTCACATATATTGTTAATATACAGAATAAATAGTAATGGCCCCAAGACTGAGCCCTGAGGCACCCCACATGTAACCTGCAGTAGTTGTGATTTATGGCTTTGTAGTTCAACGTACTGTTCCCTGTTATGTAGGTAGCTGGATAGCCATGATAGTGCAACAATTCTAATCAGGGCCGTATCCAGGATTACCTAAATACCGAGGTCCAAACATGCTAGGGGGGCGGGTTCGGGGGTGTACCCCCCCCCCCCCCCCGAGATTTTTGGGATTTTCATGATCTAGTTAGGTGCTTTTTAAGTCCTGTCGGGGGACACAAAATGGATAATATATTGATTTCAAACCATGTCAGCATAAATTATTTTTGAAAGTGTAATGCATAAGAATCAGTTGATTGTTACATATTAATGATCTGGACATGCAGACGAGGCTAAAATGATCACAAAACATTGTCAACATTCATTTTCCATGTCTCTCTTCTTTCCATAACCTGCACCTTCTCTTCCATCTTCATTACTCTCTCTGTCCTCTACTCTTTCTCTTTGTTCAATCTCTCCCTCATTGTTAACTTTTTGCTCCTTCTCACTTGTCGCTCCTGCCAGTGAATTAAAAGCAATTCAGCAATTTAGTTAATTTCACTTGTTTGTTTGCATTATTTTTTTTAACTTAAATCTGTTTTGTTTGATTCTCAAAAGAGAACAAAGATGTAAGCAAATTGTGTTTTATACAATTGTATGTTATTATGACATCATAACTGCAATAGATGTATATTGTTTTAAAAGTATGCCTATTGTCTATTGTAAATGAAGACTATTAGATAGATAGATAGATAGATAGATAGATAGATAGATAGATAGATGGGGTTATTAAGCCTACATTCTTTTGTGTGACTGTACCTCCAGTTCCTCCCTGACTTCCATCACTTTCTCTTTCTCTCTGCCTGTCCTGTCTCTTCCTTACCAAAGCTGAGCTTCGACTGAAGTAGTCTTTTCATTATATCTGAGTCAGTGTAAAAAGAAAACAATACAATGTTATATCTTCAATGTTTTACTCAAATTGAAATGAAAGAAAACCATTACAACGTTTGTTAAAAGGTAATCCTTCTGACATTGGATGAATGTCTAGCTAGTTTATTCACGCAATTTAAACCAAAGTATAGCCTATAGCTGCAATATAAGTTAGTGTGCATGTTGTCGGACGTCCACTGACTAACGTAGAGCGTTCACACAGGATATGCTGGTCATATGATGTCCTGTGAGGAACAGAAACACAAGCAGCCCGCTGGACTCAGATCTCTAGATACCTCATCACTCCTCCGCTGCTCCGGTACAAGTCCGGGCTGCGGTGGTTTGTTGATACATGTCGTCTTCTTCTGTTAGCTTTAATCGAGGCTACGTAGTTATGCAGCGTCCCCATCGTCAGTAAATGGAAGTACTACAAAGAACCCCGTTTAGTGCCGTTATTTCACAAGTTTTGTTATACACAGATCAGAAAAAATGACCGAGGTCCGGACCTCGGTGACCTCAATGGTGGATACGGCCCTGCCTCTAATGCCATATCTCTGTAGTTTTTTTATTAATAATTCATGGTCAACCGTGTCAAATGCTTTTTTAAGGTCCAGAAATATCCCTATTGCATATTCTTTCTTTTCTATTGCCTTAGTAATGTGTTCCATAAATTCTATAACTGCAAATGATGTGGTTCTGTTTGCTCTGAAACCATATTGTTGTTCATAGAGTATGTTATGTTTGGTGATGAAGTCATTTAGTCTTGTATAGTAGATTTTTTCCATCATTTTAGAAAACTGTGAGAGCAATGAAATTGGTCTATAGTTTGACATGTTTATCTCAAATCAAATCAAATCAAGTTTTATTTATAAAGCACATTTAAAAGCGATTTTTGGTCGAGCCAAAGTGCTGTACATGTAATAAAAACACATTACTACAATCACAATAAAAGACAATAAATTACAACAGATATATATAAAAAATAAAAATAAAACACAAGGAAAAGTCAGGATGTATGTATTGGTATGACTTATTTGGAAATACACCGGTTTGTATTGACTGATTACAGATGTGAGTTAGTGGTTTGGCTATACATTCAATAATGTTTTTAACTGTATACAATATCATGACAGTCTGTAGACCTTTTACTCTTAAGTTTTTTAACTGTGTCAATAATTTCATTTTCATCAGTCCCCCTTAAAAATATAGTTTCCTTCACATATATATCTTTACTTTCTACACCTTCACTACTACCAGTATTTGGAATTTCCCCAGCTAAAAAAGGACAACATTGACAAAGTACTTATTGAAATCTTCAGCAACTGAGGTCATGTCATAAATTACTGCATCGTTTTTTGACAGAAAACTGTTTGGGTATTGTGCCTTTCCATTTCCTTTTTTAATAATGGTATTTAATACATTCCATGTGTTTTTAATGTTATTTTTGTTATCCTCCAATAATTTGTTGTAATGATCCATTTTGCTACATCGTATTATCTTTGTTAGTTTGTTTTTGTATGTCTTCTATTTTTGTTCAGCCTCTACTGATCTATTCTTTAAGAAGTCTTTATATAATTCATTTTTCGTTTTACATGCATTTAATATTCCCTTAGTGATCCATGGTTTTTCAGCATATTTTTGTTTCACTATTTTCTTTACACAAGGACAATGTTTTTCATACAGCCCTGATAGAATATGTAGAAATGATTCATAGGCTTCATTTACATCTGGTACATACACTTTGTTCCAGTCTTGTTTAGATAATTCTTCTTTAAAAATAATTAACAGACTCTGGTGTTTTGTGTCTTGTAATTGTGACTGTTCTGGTGTCTTTTTTGATCCTAGTACAGTTCTGTATCGTTGCAAAGACTGGCAGGTGATCACTTGTGTCATTTATTAATATTCCACTTATTACTTTCCTATCCATAACATTTGTGAATATGTTGTCAATGAGTGTAGCACTTTGTGATGTTATTCTGGTTGGTCGTGTGATTGTAAGATATAAACTGTTGCTATACATAGAATTAATCAATTCTGTAGTTGCATTGTGTTCTTGTGGGTTCAGCAAATCAATGTTAAAGGTCCCATGTCATGATTTTCCGGTTATTACCCGTCCCCTTGTGTGTTATGAAGGTTTTTATGCATGTAAACGGTCTGCAGAGTCAAAAACCCTCAAAGTACACCCTGTAGCGAGTACAACTCTAACACAGAAAAGACCTCCCCAAAACGCCTCGTTGGAGATTTCTCATTTACTTCCTGGGTATCGCTACGTAGGGATACCCAGTAGCCACGCCCAGAGCTATGGCCGCACCCTCTGCCAGCCTTTCACGAAACAAAGCTTCACAAACCTTTCAGCGATTCATGCCGGATATGTACAGCTTAGGGCACTGAAGAACGATGCTGTTGCTACTTTGTTTGGACCAGCGGGAGAATCGGGTACACAACCTGTAAGTATTCATTGTTGTTTGTGTATTTATGATGTTTAAAACAAACAAGGTATCTACCACGACTGTTAAAATGGGTAAACGTTTTTCGGGCTGCTAAGTTGGGATCGCGGAGAAATGCTCTCCGCAGACCCATTCTCACAGCGTTATAAACCTTTTTCTTACTCAATATCAAGCCACACTTATTGTTTTTACTTCGGCTGTGAGTGTTTGTGTGTGCTCAGGATGAGTTTCGCTTGTTCTCGCTGTATCTGTATTGCCGACACGGAAGCCCTGTCTGTTCCTCACAGCAACGAGCAGCTGCACGTCGCGTGACCAATCAGAGCACACTGGGCTCACAGGGAGGGCGGGGGCAGGTGCTCCAACAAGCCGTTTAGGACAGAGAGTGAATACCGGTGAATACACATACTTTACAGAGATGCTGTATGAGAAACCAATATGAGTTTGGAAAATTGCACAGTATAAATCTATTTTTGTATACCTCAACAATGGAATTATGATCAGTAGAAATGGCCATGACATGGGACCTTTAAAATCTCCACATACAAAGAGCATTTTCTTGCTGCTTGTGTAGTTATAAAGTTCAGCTAGCTTTTTCTCAAATGTGTCAATACATGATCCTATATAATTTAATATTGAGTTATATTGCGTAATAACAGCGGAAAACGCATGGTTATAGTCACCGCACTTCTGCAGGTGCACCAATACATGTTCTTGTGTTCACAAACGTGTTTGCAATTGACAATATCTGTTGTTCTTTTTACAACTCTTACATGACTGTGTTTCTTTCTTTTGGGGCCGGAGACAGATCACCAGTTACAAGCAAAGTCCCACATTACATAGAAGGTCTGCCGAACGAGCTGAAAGACAATGGGACACCTGGGCCAATTAAACCCGCATAGCTACCCTGGAGGGCAGTCCTTGGTAACCAGACCAGAACAAAGATGTTTTTCAGTTGAGCAAATGGTCTAAAAAAAAGAATGAACAACACACTTTGACATACTGACAAACTTTAGTTTGGAAACACAGGGATGACTGACCTAGTGACCTTTCACGTGTTTGTAGAGACTGTTATGCAGGTAGTGGTTTTATTATGTCATTAAATTGCAGCAAAAGTGACCTGATTTCCAGAGAAACTGCTGGTCACTTGACTTGTGCTACTAAGACATTACAGATTTTATACCAGGTTAAACATTGAACTATTTACAGGCGGGAAGTGCAAGGTTAACTTAAAGATATTTGAGGCTGAATGAAGACAACATTTCCAACAACTTTGTACTCTTTTCTTACAGCTTTCTCAAGAGTTTCCACTCCTCCCTTTAGTCAACGTGAGCTGTTGTTACTCACTGGGTAAAAGCCGTTTTTTGGGAGTGCCAGGTGTCCCATTGTCTTTCAGCTCGTTCGTTTTTTGGGAGTGCCAGGTGACTTGGCACTCCCAAAAAACGGCTTTTACCCAGTGTTATTCCATAGAGACAGTTGTGAGGCCGGAGCAGGATTGCAAAATACGTTTATTTGTGCTCCCACTGCAGAGACACCGGCTCTCAACCCCGAAAGTTGGTTCAACACGGGCACCAACTCTTTGCCCAGCCAGCATAGAGAGCCAAGAGCTGCGTGTGTGCCTGAGGATCATGTCAGAAGCTGTGGCAGGATTTACGTGAGTAACAACAGCTCACGTTGACTAAACAACCCAGTCTCACGGCATTTTGTGTTATAGTCACGTCATATTATAATGCCGTTATGTGATGACTTCCAAAGAGAAAAGCAAGCACACTCGGAATAAAGTATTATTTTCTTCTTTTTTTTAATGTTTTTCGGATTTCATATCGCATAAACACCATATCCCAACGTGCATTGCGGCTAAACAATCCAATCACCGAGCTTAAACCATAGCTGAGAATCTTGGGTAATCAGTTCAGTGGCTGTGTATCTGTTTCCGGTTATTTTATTTTGAAATTCAGTTCCTGACGGACGCCAAAAAAGCCAGAGATTATGGAATTAACCCTTTCACGCATAGAGGTCACTACAGTGGACAGCTATTCAAAAGGTGTTTTCTTGTATATGCATGTTTTTTTTTTGCATAGTTGCACCATCAGCCACTACATAGGACCATATTGCATCATACCATACACTGCCACTCAGTGGAAAGACAGTGCAAGTGCATGATACATGTCTCTAAACCAAGATGGACGACAGAAAGCCAGATGGACCCTAACCCTTTCATAGGGAGAAAGTAGAAGGTCAATGATAGAAATATAGAATATAAAAAATCAAGAAGATACTGTAAGTGATCTCTACAATAAAACAGTTTAGTGCAGGATGTACAAAGATATTAATAGGAGGATGTGCAAAACAGAAAAACGAATTAACCTTTATTTAAACATTGCATAATACTTTAGATTAAGGTCTTCTTTTAAATAAGAAAAAAGCTTTGGGGGTATCTACAGATAAATATTAAGCCTGACAAAGTACTTAATGTCTAATATATTGCTTTCCTGCAATGTTAACTATGTTGAAGCACTTATTTTAACTGATATTATACATATTAATTATACTCTTATAAGATGTATGTAGATAGAATAAGAAATGTGCAGAATATGACAGTTTAATGGTGGAGGTATACACACATATTGATAGATGTCTTGTAATGCACTGTTGAGGAACCTGCGAGCCAAGTTTTTCAGTTCATTGCATAACTACACCGTAGTTGTGTATATGATATGTCAATAAACCTTTGAAAATCTTGAAATCTTGAAAGGGATGTGCAAAATAGCCATTATATACAGTCTTTAATGAACTATTAGTAGAGAATAACGAGTAATGAATATACTTTATAGGGATCTGCAGATAAATATTTAGTCTTCTCAAGCACCAACTAATATCTCGCCTGATTGTTGGCACTTGACAATCACCTTCCCTGAATTTTACTCAGGTGTAACTAAAGTCTGATTTAATGGTTGTTTATATTTCACATCATTAATCAGAATCTGCTGGTCCCGTTTGAATCCAGTTTTGGATAGTCTGCCGTGGTTTCGTTCCATTTCAAAGAGCTGTTTGACGCTCGGCGTAACCTTGGCGCACTGCCACTCCAACATCCAATCCCAGAGCTTGAAGATTGATCACGGGGACTGTAGTCCCAAACGATAGCTGGGGATTATGGGTAGTGTAGTGTCTTCGGCCATCCTAAACTCCGAAATGTTTTTCGGATTTCATATCGCATTAACACCATATCCCAACGTGCATTGCGGCTTAAACATCCAATCATCGAGCTTAAACCATAGCTGAGGATCTTGGGTAATCAGTTCATTGGCTGTGTATCGCAATGATGCTCGAAATGTCCCATATAGGCCTACGTCTGTTACCGGTTATTTTTATTTTGAAATTCAGTTCCTGACGGATGCCAAAAAAGCCTGAGATTATAGAATTAAACAAATAAATAAATACATGGATAATTGTGTGTTATTGTTGAGTAAATAACAGTGTGTTATTTAGAAAAGAATAACAAATTAGAAGGAAAATAGATTTGCATGTGCTGTTGAGCTTCATTATTTAACTCAGCTGGTGAAGGGAGCACGCTCGCTCCCGCTCCCGGGTAAAAACATTACTTGAATTACGTGAAAACCACCCTTGAATGATGGGATAGTAGATTAAAAGCTTTAGGAATCCAAACTATAACATATAAGTACCCTGTATCAAGATTGATGCAAAACAAGTGACATTTGACCTTTTTAGAGAGGTTTAGAAGAAGAAAAAAACACTTCTGGGGTCATTTGGGTGCATTTTCCATATCTATGGCCCCCCATAACAGGAACAAGGTAAATCAAGTAGCTGTTAAAAAATTGTAGCACACATATATATAAAACTTTGTAGGAAGAACTACACAGATGAAAGTAATCCAGAGAAAAATGTTTCTTACAAGGTGAAAGCTCCCCTTGATGAAGTATGCCTTGCAACTCAGCTGCAGATCGGTTAAGAATGTCTAACGGTACGTCTACACAGCAGCGTTAAAAAAATCTTGGAGGTGGGCGTATCTGAAGCTTGAGGATTTTTTGCGAGCAACCAATCACATGAATCTCCCGCCCGCCACATACGAAGCAAAAAAGCCCGAAGTAAACTGGATATAAACTCCCCAAAACAGGCGAAAACCTACCACTGTCTCTGCCACCTCCCTCCATGCCTGGCTCCTCCGGTTTATATCCCGGTAGGTCTGGTCATAAAGCACCGGGTGATTGATTCGCTACCGCTAATTTCTCCTCCATTTTTTGGAATATGAGGAAATGACCTGCGGTATGTCTCTCCCAGCATACACGCCGTTTGATTGGCTAGAGCTTGAACTGTCAGATTTGCATACACAGGATTTGATTGGCTGACGCTTCCACCTCAGCCTCAAAAGTTGAACATTGTTCAACTTTGAATCCTCAAAATCCTGAAAATCTCCGCTCGCCTGCCCACAATGCATTTCGGCGAAAAGTGAGGGAAAGTGACGTCACCCCATCCAAAGTGAATGGGCAGAAGCGTTTCAAGATTTTTTTAACGCTGCTGTGTAGACGCACCGTAACAGAGGCAGGGCCTTTTGCTTAACCCATTCATGGCCAGAGGATTTCTGCAGATTGTATTTTACAATCTGCCTATATCATTTAATATTGAGTTATATTGTGTAATAACAGCGGAAAACACATGGTTGTAGTCACCGCACTTCTGCAGGTGCACCAATATATGTTCTTGTGTTCACAAACCTTTTTGCAATTGACAGTATCTGTTGTTCTTTTTACAACTCTTACATGACTGTGTTTCTTTCTTTTGGGGCCTCAGAGAGATCACCAGTTACAAGCATAATGTCCCACATTACATAGAAGGTCTGCCGAACGAGCTGAAAGACAATGGGACACCTGGCACTCCCAAAAAACGGCTTTTACCCAGTGTTATTCCATGGAGACAGTTGTGAGACTGGAGCAGGATTGCAAAATACGTTTATTTGTGCTCCCACTGCAGAGACACCGGCTCTCGACCCCGAAAGTTGGTTCAACACGGGCACCAACTCTTTGCCCAGCCATTACAGAGAGCCAAGAGCTGCGTGTGTGGCTGAAGATCATGTCAGAAGCTGTGGCAGGATTTACGTGAGTAACAACAGCTCACGTTGACTAAAGGGAGGAGTGGAAAGTCTTGAGAAAGCTGTAAGAAAAGAGTACAAAGTTGTTGGAAATGTTGTTCAGGCTTCGTAAGTTTAAGTGGTGTAAAAAAAAAACTTAGCTCAAAGATCCTTTTCAGAACTTTTAACTGTCTTCATTCAGCCTCAAATATTTTTAAGTTAACCTTGCACTTCCCGACTGTAAATAGTTCAATGTTTAACCTGGTATAAAATCTGTAATGTCTTAGTAGCACAAGTCAAGTGACCAGCAGTTTCTCTGGAAATCAGGTCACTTTTGCTGCAATTTAATGACATAATAAAACCACTACCTGCATAACAGTCTCTACAAACACGTGAAAAGTCACTAGGTCAGTCATCCCTGTGTTTCCAAACTAAAGTTTGTCAGTATGTCAAAGTGTGTTGTTCATTCTTTTTTTTTAGACCATTTGCTCAACTGAAAAACATCTTTGTTTTGGTCTGGTTACCAAGGACTGCCCTCCAGGGTAGCTATGCGGGTTTAATTGCTCCCAAGGTGTGATGGCCTGTTGACCATTTCCAACTTTGTTATTCTACCTTAATAACCTTTGAAAAACAAAGTGTTCAATCCCATGGGCTCTCATTAGCGTTGACATCAAACATTGCATCAGAGGCAATCTAATTTCACATTTTCTTGCATTAAAACTTATCTCAGACTAATACACATTCACACTATTCCCCAAGCTCTATGTTTCAACAACTGGTGAATATACACTAGGGATTTCAGGCTAGTGATGGTCATTAAGGGGGCTGAGGGGACTACTCAAAGTCATTACAGTAAGTGTGCATCACTCATGACCTAAAGTGCATTGTGATCTTAAAGATAAGCAAAACATTACATCATCTGTTTCATAATAGTTTGTCTTACTTTTGATCCCTCCACGTAACTCAGATTGGTACACGGGTGGACAGAACTTATTGTTGAATACTTGTATGAGGCTGCACCAATGCCTTATTATGAAGTTTAATAATAATAATAATCTTTATTTATATATAATCTATTTTCTTGGGATAAATAGTTCTTAATCTCCATTAGCCTGGTGTATGATTATTATAACTTCAGAATATTTCTATAAATCTGATACATGCTGATACAGTGATAATGTGTCATCCTTAACAATGACCACTGTAGATTACTTTGAGTCAATTATGTACACTGAACATCCTCTCTCTGCACCAAACATTTCTCAGTAAGCTTTAAGTTAAGTGATGGTTATATATTATACCAGCCTCTGAACACCCTTCATGAAAGCAAAATAATATGTGGCTGTGTCCAACAAAAATGTACCGTTTACTTTACCTTTATTCATTTTCAAGAGTTCCCTAGCAAACATAGGCAGCAGCAGAAAATAACAGTGGCAGACATAAAAGCAAATGAATAAACATTTAAAATAAAGCAATAAAAGGATTATTATAAAGTATTAAAAGACATTCAAAACTATAAAGAGCGATGTTACTTTTTCTTAGACATGTGAGAATACTTTAAAGGTGTTCAATTAGATCAGACAAGATACATTTTTTCGCAGTTTAGTACTGGTTTGAGCAGAAGGAATACATCCTGAGTGAGAAGAACCTTCCTGCACTTTTATTGTAGGATTCCATTCCGTAGGTGAGAAGAATGTAGTCCACTAACAGGCTTACAGTTTATTGGTATAAATATGTCAATAGTTAAGTCTATACCTGGACAAGGAAGATCATGAAACCCAATTAGGAAAACAGAGATCAATCGTTAGCACGGGCTCTGAGCTTTGTTATAAATCGTAGTGTTAGATATTATCCAGTGTGTGTTGCTATTGCGAATATGAATGTATGTAGCATGCAGCACGGCTACCAGGCCATGCTGAATGCTGCGTAGAAAGTCTGACCTTTCATCTTCAGTTGAAATTTCGAACTGGGAACTCAGATAGTCAAAGTCAAAGTCAACTTTAATGTCAATCTTACTCAGTTTGTGTTTACAGACAGAGGGATCGACGTTTCAAACAATCCACAATTAAGTAAAAAAACACAACAATCAATATATACAAAATCATATATACAAAATAACAGTCACTTCAATATCAATATCTTTGGTGCAATATCAATATCTTTGGTGCAAGATTGCACCAAAGATACTCTTCCCAGTACAACTGGAATGCATCAAAGGTCCCAGCAGCCTGGATACCAGCCCAAGCCCTAAAGCCCAGGCCAAAGTCCCAGCCGCCCAGCTTCAGTTCCATCAGCTGACTCAGCGCCATCCCTTGTTCAAGTTCCAACCCTTGACCCCGCTCCAGCTCCAGCCCCTCGTTGGCAAATCCGGTCGACTCCAACCGCTGAGCCTTATCTTTATTTATGTAGAAATCAAAGTTTGAATTGGAAAAGTAACTTGCTTAAGTTATATGCTGGTTATTTTAAACAAAAAGTGAACAACATTCCAAGTTCCCTCTTAAGATAAAGGCCTGGATAGCCGGAAACCAGATACCTTTGTAACAATATCATATTTTGTGCGGATCTAAGAATGTAAGCAATTTGTTTTAGATTAAGGCATTTGCTACGCTACTGCACATACATGTTTAAATATGTATTGTTGTCAGATAATTATCAGATGAACCAAGTGCTGCCCCTGGCCAAATTTGGGCCCAACGCAATTTTTTTTGTCACGAGGCCCCCCTCCCCCCGATTTGTACAAAAAACTCCCAATCCCATACTCAACATTTATAAACTGTCAGCAAGTAGTAGTTGGAAATATAATATCTACTTTAGCGGTATACCATACCAGAGATCTAATACTGCTGGTGCTTAACATCCTAGAAAAATATTCGATGAAGTAGCTTTGGGTGGTCATATGTTTTTGAGAAGACGTTAAGTTTGTAAGCCTAGTTGAGGCTATTGAGATGGCATCATTCAAATGTTAACCTGCACAATTGCGGCCACTTCATACAATTTGTGACTCCACAGACTGTATGGCACGACTGGAGTTGTGCGTCAGTTGGTGTTTGTCCAATTTACAGTTTAGAATATATATTGTTTGAGAAGATGAACCATTAACCACTGTTATCTACATAATTGTAAAGTGCCTTTAAAAAGGAATAAAGAAAAGCCAAATGCTTTAAAACTTCTGGCAAACAACGTACCGACAGCATCACAAACTGCAAATGCAGTTGTATGAAGGGCCTTGTACATAACTGCCTGATTAATACTTCCCATGTCTGTAAGGGTCCCCTTTGCTCTTCGAGACGCAAAATTACGTATTTCATCTTGTCCATGACTGCATGGACTGTACTAAGTTTCGACTTCGCAATTTGTTGTTGGTTGCTGGCATATGCACCTCTAGCTGGTAAGCCAACGAAGAAGGAAAAATTAACAAGTAGTTGTTTAAAAAAAGTTTGTGTCATACGATTTGCTAAAACGGCCATTTCCAGTGTTATTAAAAGCTGTCTCTTTCAAACAGCGCACCGGAGAGTGTGCCCATTAAATGCACATGTGTGGTGGGCCCTGTACACACACTGTAGTATGACTAGTCTTTAAACTAGTTTTTAATGTGTTGTCGACTTTGGCCTGATATTGCCATCAAAGTTTGTTCGTGTATAAATGCTTAGGTTAATTTATCTACTAAGCAATTTTATTTTACCATCTGCATGCCATATCAACATAGGGTAATTTGTTTTGCGCAGTTAGTAAATTCCCCATAGAGTGATGACTGCACTGATGTAATAACGCATAGAAAGATAAACAGTCTCTCAGCTGTTCCTGTGAACGCACACAGACTGCATGAAGGATATTCAGACGTGATGAAACCTCTTGATGTTTACAGTCGATATAACTGAGACTGTGATCATTCTAATTCAACAAACGTATGTTTTACTTGTTGATCTAACTGACTTGTACTCCTCTTGCATATTGTATCGCTCTGTTCTCTTGTTTGGTTCACTGCTTTCCAAATACCTGAAACTGCCTCAATTAATGTCTAACCTTTTACTTTCAGGCCAAAAGGTGTTGCAGCGGCACTAACTGTTGTTAGGATCCTGCATTGTCTTTATTCATCAAACAATCTCTTTTACTGTTTATAGGGGTAAATGGAAAACGGTACATATCCCCCTTATTCTAACCTCACCATGTTTGTGAACATAGGCATCTACCGGTACCCAGCATTTGTCCTGTGTCTCCTCTTGTATGCTGTTATTATCTCTGCTAATCTTGTCATAATACTGGAAATATCACAAGAGAAAACGTTACATAAACCCATGTATATTTTAATTATGTGTCTTTCTATTAACTCTCTGTACGGTTCTGCTGGTTTCTTTTTTAGATTTTTGAGAGACCTTCTGTCTGATACTCATTTGATCCCACGATCAGCTTGTTTCATTCAGATCTATGTCATTTACACCTATGCATCCTATGAGCTCACCCTTTTAGCAATCATGGCTTATGACCGGTATGTTGCTGTTTGTCAACCTTTACACTATCACAGCAAAATGACCTCAAAGATGATCTCTAAGTTGGTTGCCTTTGCATGGATCCTTCCCATCTTTACTGTTGGAGCTTGTGTATATCTGGCCGGAAGACTTCCATTGTGTGGCAATAAGATACCTAAGGTATTCTGTGCCAATTGGCCTGTTGTAAAATTGTCTTGTATCAGTACTGTGCTTAACAACCTTGTTGGAATGTTGATGACTACAACGTCAGTCATTCTGCCCCTGGCTTTTGTCTTGGACACATATATATGCATTTTTCTTATTTGTTGGAAAAACTCTTTAGAGTTCAAGAGCAAAGTCATACAAAGCTGTATGCCACACATTGTTACATTTGTCAATTTTTCTATTTCTTTGTTTTGTGATATTGCTCTCAGCAGGATAGACGTTGAAATAATAAATCCATTTTTAGGAGTATTTTTATCACTTGAATTTGTTTTGATTCCGCCCATTCTAAATCCCTTTGTATATGGCCTGAAATTGCCAGAAATAAGAAAATGTTTGTCACGTAGGTTTTTATGCTCTAAACCTGTTAGGATTGAAAATATTACCCAGTGCTTAAAGTAAGAGGTCTGATATGGACTGAGTTCTTTCATATATAACTTTAAACTTTCTGCAACAATGATGCGTGTCATAGTAAAGTAGTTCAATTGTTTTAAACATGTTGTTTTTAGTATACTCCAAGATGGTTGAATTTTCATGATCATATGTTTATATATAAATATGTTTATATTATATGTATGCATATATTCATTCGGTTTTTTATTTCTGAAGCTACAGTATGTCATCATATTTATTGATGCAAATTATAATTTGAATGTGTAATGTACTGTAACAAAGTAAGCTGGGCAAAAGAAGGTGTGCATAACAACGACATATTGTTCACTTTTCTTATTGAATTAATCACTTATTAGGATGTATAATTACTAACAGAGAGACTTTTAGCTACGTAATGTGAATTTATTTATTACATTTTTTGTTTGTGTAACATACCATATAATCATGCTTCTCAGCCAAATACATAAATGAACAAAACACAAACAATGTGAAGCTGGGATTTGGCATGAGCAAGTCTGGGTATTAACAAATATACATTTTATATACATTATATAAATGATCATTATTTTCAATATAACTTTCAACATGAAGGTTCAGAGGGTTTATCAACAGGGTTTGATAATATTGTGTCACTAAAATGATGATTGCAGTAGCTGAAAAGGCATTAACAAATTCTATGAGAAGTAATTAGTAATTAAGATGACATAAATATATAAAAAATATATCACATTAAAAAATAAATATTGTTCATTGTTATTAATACATTTTCCAATAAGATCCTTGAAAGGGGCACCACGTTTATAAATACAGTTAATGTATGCTTATATTTGAGTCTAATGAAACCTACTATTTATTAGGAACTGTAATAAATATTTGAATTAATACCTATAAAACAAACCTACCATATCAATAGCTAGTATTTATTTATTTATTTATGTATTTATTATTATGATGCTATGAACTATTTATAGTGTAAATTGGAATGATCCACATCTGTGCTCCCGGGTGTATCTGTTTTCTTCCTGTATGTTCCTGCCTGTGTACATGACATAAGCTGCTGCTCATAACCAATTGCCCCTTGCGGGATTAATACAGTTGTTGATTGATTGATTGATTGATTGATTGAGTAAAGGTCGGAGAATTTCAAAAATCAAATCACTCTTGTACAATATCAAACAAACCAGCATGTATATTACAAAATGTAAAAAGACATACAATATATAATTCAATTGAATATAAATATATACATATATATATATATATAAAAACATGATTTTTTTTATGCGTCTTGTTATTTCATAGTAGTGGACAATAACAGGGACGATTTGATATACATTTAATTATCACAGCACACTCTCTAAATTCCCCACTCCCTCCCTCCTCTTCCTGCACACCCCAAATAGGCAAAACCAAACGTGTTTAGTAAGATAATTTAAACAACAAAAAAGATAAAGACAAAAACAACAATGGCAAACAAACCCAAAACAACAAAAATGTACAATAAACCAAATGTGCAAGCCATCAAAAGAAAAACAGACAATAATTATAAAATACAGTGACAATGTAGAGAATGACAGTATTATATTATTATTATATTTATTTAACCAGGTGAATCCCATTGAGATCATCGATCTCTTTTTCAAGGGAGACCTGCTGCAAGTAGGTTCCACATGAAGATATAAAAACATAAAACAACAGAAAAACAAAAAGGACATCATACAACATAGATACAGGGATTTACAATTGACATACCTAACGACATTTACAGGTACCAACAGTATCAGATTGCATAGCATCTATCCGAGCTTTAATGAAGCTAACGTAAATATAATCCTATATTGAAGACACTGCATTTTTGTAGATTACAGATTGATTAGATCCCCAGTGTGAATTTCTTATACCTTAGCTGGATCTCTTATGATCCTGATTTTTAAATGCTTTGACTAGTGTTTGCCTTGAAGTAAATCTTTAAGCTGCAAGCTAGTTTGGATTTTATAGTTTGATAAGTGAGATTAACTAAATGTTAAAACATATTAGTTTTCAAAGAAATGTTTTTGCTATTATGTATCTGTGATTTTACGTGTGTTCATTATTATGCTTTTGACAAAAGATGCTCCAAACACTGACGAGAGATGATTTTTCTATTATGATTGGCTGTCTCAATCATTGTGATTGAATGTTTCAATGTTATTGTGTTGTTATTAATGTGATTGTTATTGTGTAAGCCCACACTCAATTCTGAAGATTCTCATTGATTTAAGTATTGAACAAATTATTATTAAAATAGGGTTTTTTAGGTTATCAAAATTGATACAAAGAGAGGAACTGTTGGGGAATAATTTGCCCTGCATGTCCTCCTTCGCCCTCTGACGCAGCTGACTAACCTTGAGCAGCCGTTATCTCCCATAAGGAGGGGCTGCCCTAGCATATTGTTGATGTTGCCAGTTTATGACCGGGCAACTCTCTGTCAGAGATAGTTATTGTTGTGGGACACCTGGAACACATCCTTCTCGGTGTGTAGATGACCCTGAGCCATAAGCGACAATAAATGTGATTCAGCGTCCTCAGCTGTTTAGTCTATCTATTGAAGAATGTTGAATATTACACTCCGAACTAGTTAAAACCTCGAACTACAGAAGAGTTCTTCAGAATTGATTGTGGAATCTCTACCGTGTGGTCAAACCGTGGCCCGTGACATGTCTTGTGAATTCTCCGGCCGAAGCTCCAAATAAACCGTCAGTGTTTGCCATCAAAGCTCCAGCTCTCCTCGTGTCTCTGAGTCCTGACTCCTATTGCTTCAGAAGTTTCCCCCACAGTACACTTCATTGCTCTGCATAAATTGCCTTCTGCTAAAGAGACGGCTCAAGTTCTGCTTAATCATGTTGTTCCCATTCATGGAATACCCAGAGACATTGTGTCGGACCGGGGTCCACAGTTTTCACCTCCGGATACCATCCCTAGTCCAGCGGGATGACGGAGCGAATGAAGAAGAAGAAGAAGAAGAAGAAGAAGAAGAAGAAGAAGAAGAAGAAGAAGAAGAAGAAGAAGAAGAAGAAGAAGAAGAAGAAGAAGAAGAAGAAGAAGAAGAAGAAGAAGAAGTGGGGCCTTTTCAAGCCCCACCTGTTCCTCATCGCTCCAATACAATGGTAGGCCAAGCTTAAAATGGTCAAATGTATCGTTCTATAACAGGGGTCTCCAACCTTTTTTAGGATGAGGGCTACTTTCAAAAAATAAAACAAGTCGTGAGCTACTTTTACTCCTCTTTTTTTTGTTTTTTGCAGTGTATATATTTAGCACATTTTAACATTATTATATGCTTACCTTTAACCTTTGTGTGCTGTTTGGGTCTGTGGGACCCGTTTTCAGTGTTTACTAAAAGAAAATGAATGCAATTTAATTATTTTTAACCTGCTTTATTTGGGGGTGGACCTCACCTCCTCTAGGGGGGTCCGGGGGAAGATTTCTTTTAAATGTTGAAGTTAAATGCATCAATCTGGTGCACTTTGAGCAGAAAATGAATTGATGGATACAGCTCTCAACACTCAGATGAAAGAGAGCTGTATACTTTTCAATAATCCAAACATCTTTATAATATGATCACAACCAATAACAAATCATTTAAACTTGTTTATTCTTATCTTATGTTACCTAATTAGCATTCTTTCTTTTTATTTATGCATATTTTACTAATCACTCCCCTTTTAAACAGTTTTTTTTTTTTTTACTGTCCTATAGTAGCCTACACATTGGAATGATTTCTTACTTTATTTTTTACAGCTAGACTATATTAAATAGATAAAGGTGTGCTCTCTCTAGCTCTCTCGCTCTCTCTCTCTGTCTCTGTCTCGCAGAGGCTGTGTGCTCCTCCGTGGCGATGACTGCTTGCGTTAAAAATAAAAAATAAACATAGGCCTACACAAACGGGATTTCGAAAAGTGTCACGGTTAAACTCCTTATGAAGTGGTGAGATGCCGTTCCGCTTTTCTTCCCGACTGCAACGCTGTTGTGTGTGTGTGTGAGAGCGTTTCACATGTGTGTATGAGAGATTTTTACATATGTCTGTAAATGATTTTGGTTTCAGTTGTGTGTGTGTGTGAGCAGGCTCGGATTGGCCATCGGGAGATTCTGGACTTTTCCCGGTGGGCCGCTGCCGTTGGTGGGCTGCTGCCTTCGGTGGGTCGCTGGCTCTGGCATAGGTGGGCCGTGGACTTTCACAGCGCCGCTGCGCCGGTACTGCATCCGCCAGTGATTCGATGTCATGGATGTGCAGAAAAGATAAATAATAAGGTTTTGTGAGTGAATTTCGGTGCAGTAATCTGTTAGCATTTTTCGCTCGTTGCTAATTCAGAAGCTCAGCATTAGCATTGTGGGTTTTATTTTGAAATAAAAAAAAAAACGATCAGTTAGATGAGTTTCTTCCCGTTACATGGATATAAAACATTCATAGTTTATTAAATGAACATGCCCTCAGACACTGTTTCCTGCAAGATGTTGCGGCAGGTTAAGAGATGCCACCATATCTGGGCTGCAGCTCGTCGGGTCCTCCTGAAGAGTTCACTCCGGATGAAGACGGTGGCTGATAGAAGGCGGCGGACGGCACTTACCTACAGATCGGGGCAGAGGGTGTGGCTATCCACAAGAGACTTACCAATCCATGTCATGTCAAAAAAGCTCGCTCCAAGGTTCGTGGGTCCATTTCCTGTTACCAAGGTCATTAATCCTGTTTCTGTCCGTCTTCGTCTGCCCAGGTCACTGTGGGTTCATCCAACCTTCCACGTCAGCCGGATTAAGCCGGTATTGGACAGTTCCTCGGTTCCACCATCCAAGCCCCCTCCTCCCCCCAGGTCATTGATGGCGGCCCGATTTATTCAGTCAAGCGTCTCTTGGCCGTCAGGAAACGAGGTCGAGGTCATCAGTCCTTGGTGGACTAGGAGGGATATGGTCCCGAGGAACGGTCCTGGGTCCCATCCAGTTTCATCATGGGACAGGAACTAATTGAGGACTTTTACAGAAGACATCCGGAAGTTCCTGGGCCTTCAGGAGTCGTCCCTATAGGGGGGGGGGGGGGAGGTACTGTTGTGCGTCGTCAACTGTGTTAAATGTTTTATGTTTAGTTTAGTTCCGGGGTTTTATTTTGATAGTCTGTCTTCCCAATATGTTTGTCGCGCACTTCCTCCCTTTCTCTGTTTACCGCCCCGGTGTTTATTTTGTCACGTCGTTATTGTCTGCACCTGGTGATGTCTGTATAGGCCCAGCCATTCACTGTCTCGTTGCCGTACAGGCCATAATTCATACTGGTCCTCTCACACACATACATTCTCCTTTTGCATACATATATTTTCACTCTTACACACATACATTCTCCTTTTACATACATATATTTCCACCATTACACACATATATATTTACACTCACACATTCATACATTTTGCTCTCATATTATCATATTTCAATACACACATTCATATATTGTCACTCACATATTTATACATTTTTCACTCAAACATATACATTTTGCTCTCATATTCATATATTGTAATGCTCATATTTATACATGTTGCTCTCATGCACATTCATTCAATGTTTACATTTAATATTATGAATAATATATGAATGTCTGAAGACAATATATGTATGCAAGAGAAGAATGTATGTATGTGGGCAACCCTGTCTCCTAGAAATTACGTTCCCACAAAACTAAACTGCATTCTCAAATACGTTTCGCAAGAAACGTATTTCCTTGCACGTTACGTTTGTTATGAACATATCTTAAATACGTTTATTTTCTACATATCTTCTAGAAACCTATTTTCTCCCACATGACGTTTGTTATGAACGTATCTCAAATACGTTTGCTTTCTACCTATATTTGCCATTTCTTTTCTAGCTTATAATAATGATAATAGTAATTTATTAATATCATTTTAGAGCAAACTTATTTTCGCGCTGGCTGGCGGCTGA